AAATCCACCATCTTAATAAACACTAGCTAGCTTTGCATCAAATATGGGTTAAATATATGTTTCAATCTTTATTCCGTTACATGAAAGTCACCTGAGATTTTTGTAAAGTTATTCTGTTCCAGGAAACATGAAATAACTTTAATGAGTTATGATACACAATCACTTTCTGCATTATTCTGCCTTAAAATCTAAAAATCTGATATGTTCAATTGAATAATTATTTATTATTGATTAGATTAATATTAATTTTATTACCCTTCCTCATTTACTAAAACAGCAAGATTCTTAAAACATACCTTGCTATCATTTCCAGTGAATTAATCAAAATTACAGTTGGTCATGCAGCACACATTGTTCTTTCATGTGTAACAGTTTTGCAAATGGGCATTACCAACTCAATGCCTAGTAGTGACTAAAAACGTGACAAAAACAAATTTTGTAGTGTCACTTAAACTGCTGCCATTTAATAATGATTTTGCAGTGGAAACATTTCATTCTTTGAACGATTTTTAACTTTTAGGCAGTTAATTTTGGACTGCAATGGTTTTGTTAAGGTACACAGTTAATGATTGCAATTATGTGTGATTATTGTGTAAATCATGATTATCTGACAAATCCACACACTTTCTAACACTGATTCCAAAATTGATTGTAAGAATTTGATTGACAGACTGGAGTCTATTTGTTGGTAAATACATTGACAACATGCTTATTTGGCATGGTCATGCAGCAGTGTCACCTGCATATTCAAAGCCATGGTTAATTTTGATAGCATGATTGGCAATTATTGTTGTTGTGTAAACATGCATCACAGAGTCAAAGTACACACATTGACCTACATGGTGTCAATAGGTAGTGGAGTCAAAGCTTAGGTTCAATACCGACTAGGTTACCTACTAGTTACTGCAATGTGGGAAGCCATTCTTGGTGACCCCTGCACCACCTCTAGCTTTTCATCCAAGTCAAAGTTCTGCCATGATGTAGCTGGAACTGTTCAAAGCAATGTTTCACTCACTCACTCACTCACTCACTCACTCACTCACTCACTCACTCACTCACTCACTCACTCACTCACTCACTCACTCACTCACTCACTCACTCACTCACTCACTCACTCACTCACTCACTCACTCACTCACTCACTCACTCACTCACTCACTCACTCACTCACTCACTCACTCACTCACTCACTCACTCACTCACTCTCTCACTCACTCACTTCACTCACTCACTCCACTCACTCCTCACTCACTCACTCACTCACTCACTCACTCACTCACTCTCACTCACTCACTCACTCACTCACTCACTCACTCACTCACTCACTCACTCACTCAGTGATGGCTTCATCTTCAAAAGTGTCCATGAATACATCCCAGGAATTTCTTGCATTGACTAATTCTAAAATCAAACCCATCTTAACTGCATCACCATTCGATTATGCCAATATTGACACAAGACTAATATGGTAATCACATCAGTTCAGATACAGACACTCGCAACATATTAAGTTGGGAGGGTGTATGCTTCAGATGTTGGCATAAAGTGTTACCCCTTTCCCCGCTTCTACACTACAGTATCTCACATAGGAAGCTTGTCCTGCAGACAATTCCGATTAGTTAATGGAACATGTCACAGAATCCTTCTCAAGCTTTCCATCTTATACAGTTTGTCCCAAGCTATGAACATCCACTGAGACTGTTTGAGGTCTTAGACAGAGTGTTTGCACTGCCCTGTCTGGCTGAGTTGGTCCATTGATTACATGATAGAGCCAGCCCAGTAGACTAAGTGTAAAGGATAAGTAAATCTGTAGATACAGAGGCCTGGACAAGGATGGGGGATGGTGAAACAGCCTGGCCTGGGACTCGCCTATCTCCAGCTTCCTGGCCTTTGTCTTGCTGATGTAACTTATATTGTGAGTGAGTGAGTGAAGTTTTACGCCACACTCAACAATATTCCAGCTCTGTGGCATCGGTCTGTAAATAATCGAGTCTGGACCAGACAATCCAGTGATCAGTGACATGACCATCGATCTGTGCAATTGGGAACTAATGACATGTGTCAACCAAGTCAGCGAGCCTGACCAACCCATCCCGTTAGTCGCCTCTTATGACAAGCATGGGTTACTGAAGATCAATATTCTAACCCGGATCTTCACGGGTAACATATATTGTGAAGGCTGAGGGGTGCAGGGATGTGGGTGGGTAGGACAGAGGATGGGATTAAGAACAAAAGTGGAAGGTGGAGGTTGAGGGTTAGGGTGGAGGACTGAGTATAAGGTGGAGGGACAGGTTGAGGTGGAAGGATTGAGGGTTTGGGGGAGAGGACTGAGTATGGGGTGGAGGATTGAGGGTTAGGGTGGATGACTGAGTAGTGGGTGTTGGATTTAGGTATAGGGTGGAGGATTGAGGGTAGGGGTAGAGGACTAAGTAAGGGGTGGAGGATTGAGGGTTGAGGTGTTAGGGTGGATGACTGAGGGGTGGGTGTTGGATTGATTTAGGTACTAGGGTGGAGGATTGAGGGTAGGGTAGAGGACTGAGTAAAGGGGTGGAGGATTGAGGGTTAGGGTAGAGGACTGAGTAAGGGGTGTTGGAGGTATTGAGGGTAAAGGTAGAGGACTGAGGGTAAGGGGTGGAGGACTGAGTAAGAGGGAGGATTGAGGGTAGGAGGATGACTGAGTAAAGTTGGGTGGAGGATTGAGGGTTGAGGGTAGAGGGACTGAGTAAGGGGTGGAGGATTGAGGGTTAAAGGGATGACTGAGTAGAGGGACTAAGGTAAGGGGTGGAGGATTGAGGGTTAGGGTAGAGGACTGAGTAAGGGGTGGAGGATTGAGGGTAAGGGTGGGTGGGACTGAGTAAGGGGTGGAGGATTGAGGGTTAGGGACTAGAGGACTGGAGGTAAGGGGTGGAGGGAGGATTGATTGAGGGGGACTGAGTAAGGGGGTGGAGGATAGAGGACTGAGTAAGGGGGTGGAGGATTGAGGGTTAGGGTAGAGGACTGAGTAAGGGGTGGAGGATTGAGGGTTAGGGTAGAGGACTGAGTAAGGGGTGGAGGATTGAGGGTAAAGGTAGAGGACTGAGTAAGGGGTGGAGGATTGAGGGTTAGGGTAGAGGACTGAAGTAAGGGGTGGAGGATTGAGGGTTAGGGTAGAGGACTAAGTAAGGGGTGGAGGATTGAGGGTTAGGGTAGAGGACTGAAGTAAGGGGTGGAGGATTGAGGGGTTAGGGTAGAGGTTAGGTAAGGGGAGGATTGAGGGTTGGGTAGAGGGTGGAGGGGTGGAGGATTGAGGGTTAGGGTAGAGGACTGAGTAAGGGGTGGAGGATTGAGGGTTAGGGTAGAGGACTTCTTCAATTCAGGTAGGTTTGTTCTATCTCAGAGGTAGGTTACGAATCTAATTTCTGTCTGAAATCGACTTTTTTATGGGTGAGGAGATACTTGTTCTGGGAATAAAGGGTTTGATGTAAACATACACGTATCCAAGGTTGAATAAAACAAATGATCTTTAGATTACATGTCTTTTTGAATTTCATTTAGTTAGAGCTTGTAAAATAGGTAAATCAATTACAAAAACCGTCTTTCATTAAATATGGCCTCAGGGGATGAACAAAGTAAATATGCTGTTAGGTAGGGCCTGATGATCCAGTCACATATTCAGCGAGAAACGTTTACCTATGCCTGAAAGATTTGCTGTTATGTTTCACTGATTCTGATAGTGGACTACTTAGTCCATCAGATGCTGGACAAGGCTGACATTGGTCCAGTTCATCATGTCATTCAGACGGGCGGGAATCAGGCCTGGCTACTCAAGATTTGGGATTATGTACAGATGATTTCCTTCAAAGAACACTCCTCCTACATACATGAAACATACAGATATACATTCTACAGTCTAGCCATTGTAAGCGATACTTGGCTTGTTAGTTGTCATGTCAGAGGTGAAGGTCAACAGTGATTTAGTCGTCTGACCCGGCTTCAGTTCCTAGCTGACTAATGTCTGGCTGGTAATTTCACGAGTCAGCACTTTTCAGATTTTTCAGAAGTATGTGCTTACCTTAGTTTATCTATATATATGTTTATGCTTGCATGGATGCACCTTTATGTTGTATGATATCCAAATTACTTTGATAATTGAATTTGAAAATGGCATACACATGAAAAGTGAAGTTTGATGGTCTAGTGGTTAAAGGGTTTCTTTGTTACACTGATGATCCTGGTTTGATTCTACACTTGATAATGTATCTTACGGCTATACAGGGCAGTGGGATAGCCTAGTTGTTAATGTGGTTGTTCATCACGCCCAAGACCCGAGTTCGATTCCCCACATGGGTACAATGTGTGAAACACATTTCTGGTGTCCCCCGCCTGATGATGTTGCTGGAATATTGCTAAAAGCGGCGTAAAACTAAACTCACTCACTCACTACAGCTATACAGCTGACATATGCTGACTGTGCCATCTAATGTTAATTCCTGAGTCCTACACTGCCAGCTGATGTGACTGCACACTACTATGAGTACACAGTTATGTCCCTTAGCATCGATTGTTGGTTTGAATCCCATTTCCCCGTGATCATGTATCTTGGTTTCTCAGAACCACACCATGCTTATGTGTTCCCCCAGAATGGTAAATGTCTGACATCAGGATCACTTCTGGCTTTTGACCCAATTTAAACTGACACACTGTGATATAACTGAAATGCTGTTGAAAGTGTCATAATCCCTGTTAACTCACTCGCTCAGATTGGTTATTTTTTAGTTATATTTAACTCAGACTTGAACACTGTTATATCACAGTAGGCCAGCATAAGCCTGGAAGCATGGACGCGTTAGTGAAACCAGTAATCATAGGTATAGTGTTGACTCGCATGAAATATCATAAACCTGGCAGATCTAAGGGATATTAGAATTTTTGAGAATTGCTGAGATTCTATGTTCTGCTTTTATATATTTTTATGAGATGTGTTGAACATACTTGTTTATTGAATACCCTTCTTCTTGCAGTGATGCGGCTTACGAAGCCAACGTTGATGCCTTTTCATCCAATCCAGTGCGAGTCACGTGATCTGTGTGGTGATCAGTTCCTGCAGCAGAACAACCTTGACCTTGCAAAGCCGAGGGGTCTAGAATGCTTTCCTCTGGGAGACATGCTGACATTGCCACAGAATTTTGGGTAATGATTCAAAACCTTTCCAGCATCTTTGGAATTTGTATTTTGACAACTTAAACTGGTAATATTAGGTTTGATCTATTAATTTCTGTTTTACAGAAAGTTTGTTTGTTCCCAAGAATGATGACACCCCAATTTAGTCGTGAGTTTGGAAGACAATGCCTACAATATTGGAAATTGTGGACATTTCTCCTCCATTTTTCATGGATGTAATTGCAATGTGGCTGGTACAGGTGGACTTTTTAGTAAAACTCAGCGAAGGCAATTTATATGTTATTGATTTAACTTAACGTTGGTTTGTATGTTTTTTGTCAGATCATCGTATTTTGTTCTCTTCATATCATTGTTACTTTTTATTCAATTGTATTATGTTTGATATATAAATTGCTTTCGTCATGATATGGTGGAAATACTGCCGATGTGTCACTCACTCACTCACTCACTCACTCACTCACTCACTCACTCACTCACTCACTCACTCACTCACTCACTCACTCACTCACTCACTCACTCACTCACTCATCACTCACTCACTCACTCACTCACTCACTCACTCACTCACTCACTCACTCACAATTTTATCTCATTTACCAGAAGTGTTTGTAAACTGTACCCATACCCTATATGATTCAGTAACACTCACCTCCTACTGGCTAAGAAATGTTACAACACATTCTTCAGAATATTACATTGAACATGTCTGGAACATGGAGATAAGATAAATATGTATTCTATGGAGATTTATGTTTCATTATCAACATACATGTTCCCTCCCGAGCGTGATTGCTCCTGGAGCATTGCATGTTGGCCCTCCACACTGTTGAGTTTGATGGTAGATACGAACTCTTTGCTTTGAACATTTACTGTTGTCGCACCTCTTTGACTTAATGACTGATCTGAATGATGTAGTGCAAGATATTCAAGACTATCTGTTTCTCTTTCAGCTTACATGCCCCATGTCCATATGGGATCCTTGTGTTGTTCCGTCTGTCCTTTTCTATAAAACCTTTCCATTTTATACTTTTACTTTAGGCCAGACCAATTTTATTTCTTGTTTTACGGATTTTTGTCCACAGAAAACCTAAAGGCCAGACAAAGTAATATTCCTTTAAATACTCAAAGTATGTTACTTTTGGCAATTTATGAAATGTATATGGGGCAAAAAACAATCTAAAAACAAAAATTCTTGTATGGTTATATTTTTGGCCAATAAAAACATTAGGATTTTATTTTTTAAGTGGGGAAAATTATTATTATTATTTTTCTTATTCTTGAAAAATTGCGACAGGCGGATCCATAAAACAAGAAATATAATTGGTCTGGCCTTACCCAATCTTACCTTAAAATATAGTGTAGTGTATGTCATGCACAAAGGCATGCATGCACGCAAGGGATCACATAAAGGAAATGAGATAAAAGAGTCAAATGTTTGAACTAATTTGCCATGAAAACCTTGATTATATCAAGTAGCTTTAGATTTGTCTGAAGTATCATGATCGGCTGTGGCTATTATAGATTTATGCCAAACTGCTTGTTTGAGGTTTTGATACTGTGTACATGGTCCTGATCTTAGGGGGACTTATTTCGTTTTAATCAGAAATACAAATTATATTTAATTTAATTTGTTTGAGAGCATCTGTTAAACCAACAAGCAGTAAAGCTGAAACTGTACATGGATAATTAGCCTCATTCATAGTGTTCCAGATCAACTCCACCCAACGGAACATGATGAAGATTTTCACTTTTGCTTCAAATTTGCAATCAAAATATGAAGATATAAATTTTTCCTTATCCTGACTCATGCTCTTTTGCTTGTCTTCTTCTTCTTGCGAACATAGTGGAAACACTTGTATCTCCCTAATTGAAGCTCCCTTCAATGTATAATCACTAATTAATACCCACCATGAGTTGCCTCTCTTGACCCAAGCTCGGGAAAGGTGGTGCCACCTCAACCCATGTGCCTCACTCTCTCCTTCTTCGCCCAGTGAGCAGGAAGTGAGAGCACCTGTGTCTCCCTACACACTATATCCTTTGGTTATTTTTTACTTAATTACCTCGTATAGTTACTATAGAGGTGTAACTAGTATCCTTCATCAATATGTATTGATAATAAGTAAGTAAATTGTAATAACCTTTATATGGCAGCTGATAAGTTAGCAGCAGGAATTCATCAGTTCAATGCCTTTATGAAGTTCCCATAGGGTTATTACAATCATCACAATTCAAATCACTAATTATTAAAATCCAAAGTATTATATATTCCCACCTCCTTTTCCGTCGGATACTACAAGCAAAAGAGCATGAGTCAGGATAAGGAAAAATATGTAATTTTTAGAGTAAAATTGATATTTTATACTTATCCTGACTCATGAGGTAAGCCCTCCCATCCTCCCCAAATAACACTGTGGATTTCTCTGAAAATTCAAATGTTGGGCTCAGTATATGAGGAGAGAGTGAGGCACATGGGTTGAGGTGGCGCCACCTTTCCCGCGCTTGGGTCAAGAGAGGCAACTCATGGTGGGTATTAATTAGTGATTATACATTGAAGGGAGCTTCAATTAGGGAGATACAAGTGTTTCCACTATGTTCGCAAGAAGAAGAAGACAAGCAAAAGAGCATGAGTCAGGATAAGTATAAAATATCAATTTTACTCTAAAAATTACATTTTCTTACGTAATTCATAGGATTTCTAAATACTAAAATACAATTTTTCCCTTAGTGCATATGTATGATATGCTGGTCTATGAAAACAAATCGCTCAGACTATACTTTCATAGATAATGTTAAAGGGAGGCTCATTATTGAACTTGACACCATCTGCTATGAATGTGAGTCTTGTTTAGCCACATCTTATGAAATGTGTGATTGCGTTGGTCGACATTCTGTTCATATTGTTTGAAACTGCTGTGATAACCTAAGTGATAAAAAATTATAAACTGAGTTTTGGGATCACATGGGTGATTGAAATGGATGATTGTGGTTAATCATACTTCAACATCATTTTTCACTGCTCAAAACGTCAACCACTTGCTGGCCCTGTCTTATCTTGATTATTTGACGTGGCATTTTCATAAATGGAATAATTCTTTGCACCCTCTTTCTACCCTTCTTATTTTTCCCTTCATTCTTCCTCTCATCTTCTTTCCACCCTTTGTTATTCTCCCCCTTCTTTGTTCTTCCCACCCACTTTCCATCCTGTGTTTCTCCCTCCATTCCTCCTACTCTTTCCACCCTTCTTCCTTCTTCATTCCTCCCATCCTCTTTCCAACCTTTCTCATTTCCCTTTACCATTTCTTCCTTCTTCATTTGCCCCACCCTGTTTACCACCCATTTCCCCCCATATCTCCCATCCTCTTTTAACCCATCCCCATTTCCCCCTCTTTCATTCATCCTACCCTCTTATCACCCTTCCTCATTCTTCTTTATTCCTATATTCCTCAATCCCTCATCCCTCTGCAACCCCCATTCCTCCATCCATTCATCTTACCTTTTCTTCATTCCTTCCACTGTCTCCCTTCTTCATTCCACCATCCCTTGTTCCTTCCTCGATTCATCCTACCCTTTTCTTTTGTGATTCTAGTCTTCTTCATTCTTCCCACACATCTTCTTCCCTTCATTTATTCCATCTTTCCACCTTTCTCATTCATCTTCTAAATTGCTCCAACCCTCATTTCTCCAGTCCTCATACTCCTTCATTTCCCTTCGTTGACCTCTACTGACATCCCTCCTAGTGCCCTATTTAATATGGATTGCTAGGGAAAGCGTTATGACTCTAAATGCTGATATTGCTGTTTAATCAAATTTATTGTGGACAAATTTGCTGTTTTACAATCATGAAGCACTGCATGGGCAATTACATTGCATTTTTATTTGTTTGGCAAAGTTATGTTCCAGAAAACCCAATTTCCTTCTTTATCAGACCATGATTGTGGTTTGAAGACCATTTTCTTGAGTTGTATTGCCGGCACATACTAATTAAACACACTTTATAACTACCATACCTTTCTGCCCTGGCTTCATTCCAACATGGCGGGTCTTCCCTTACTTAAAAAACATTTATTGATTTGGAAATAGCCTTTCCAGACACAAACTTCTCACTTTCAAAAACTGGTGATAATGAATATTTGTTATTTTCAAAGCAATATTGATGAATTATAGGGCTCAAATTTTTTAAACTGTTCTAATAACTGAAACCCACTTTCACCAATGTTTATTTAACTTGATTGCTAAGGTCTGCTACAGTGTTAGGGGAACCTTTGTTGAGTGAACAAATCAATGTTAACTTCACAGTGGAGCATGTTGTGTCTCTATGCTCACATATACCTGTGATCATCCAGGTTAGAATTGGTCTTCAGTAACCCAGGCTTGTCATAAGTGGTCAGTAGCCTGTAAATAATCAAGTCTGGACCAGACAATCCAGTAGTCAACAGCATGAGCATTGATCTATACAATTGGGATACGATGACATGTGTCAACCAAGTCAACAAGCCTAACCACCCGCTTCTGTTAGTTGCCTATGTTATAGCAATGTTTGTTTGTTTAATGGCGGTCTGTAATTAATTGAGCCTATACCGCGAGATCCAGGGGTTGACAGCATGAGCATCTATCTCCTCAATTGGGATACGATGACATGTGTCAACCAAGTCGGCAAGCCTGACCACCTGATCCTGTTAGTTGCCTCTTGTGACATGCATAGGTTGCTGAAGACCAATTCTAACCCGAATCTTCACGGGTAACCTTGTAGAACAAAGTCACAGGTAATGTTAGGGGTAATATGGCATTATATATACTCTCCCAACAAAGAAACGCATCATGAAAATAGCAATTTCATGTAGCAATGAATTAAAACGTGATTCATTTTACAAAAGGTTTTGCTCTGTTTATGAGTCCTATTGTGTTTATGTTTTGAAACATCACAACAAAACGCACCATCCGTAAAATACCCGTATTTAACAGCATAATTTTCAATTTTCGGCGTGTAGTGTCACAGAATACACAATTCACATGCAATGCACGTGAAAGTGAAAGTTGGGGATCAGATAGTCTCAATGATGGGTATAAAAGGTTGATCGCTGTCTGTCGATTATTCACTGTATTTTGAATATTGTTGATGAACGCAAAATGCCACGTCTAAGTGAAGCCAACCGTCATAATGCCATTGGTTACAATCACCTGCGTCATCGAACAGCTACGGCGACCGGTACCGCTCGACAAATACCCGGATTGAGGAGGCTTTCTGCACAGACCGTCAGGAACAGGTTGAGAGAGGCTGGTTTACGTGCCAGAAGACCTTATTTTGGCCCTGTGCTTCGACAACAACATCGTCGACATCGAGTTCAATGGTGCACCAACGTTCAGGCCTGGAACCTACCGATTTGGCGTAGAATCTGGTTCAGTGATGAATCACGATTTCTATTTGAACGACGCGATGGAAGAATGCGGGTGTACAGACGTCGACGTAAATGTTTCGCTGACGCTTGCGTTCCCCAGGTGAACAGATTCAGCCGGGGCAGTGTTATGATGTGGGGAGTGATCTCCTGCCATAGTAGAAGTGATTTGGTGATGATCCAGGGCAACCTGACAGCTCAACGGTACTGTGACAAAATCCTACGCCCACACCTCCTTCCAATCATTTATCGCCAGAGGGAGTTGTTTCAACAGGACAATGCCAGGCCCCACACAGCACTTTACACTAGAGACTTCCTCCAGAACTACAACATCAATGTGCTCCCCTGGCCCTCAAGATCACCGGACTTAAACCCCGATCGAACATCTGTGGATGCCCTGGACAGACAGGTGCGACGCCGTAACCCTCAGCCCCAGACATTTCAGCAACTCGCACTACAGGCAGAGTGGGCTGCGATTGGGCAACACGAGATTCTGAGACTTATTCATTCGATGCCGAGGCTATGCCGTTCAGTTCTGGATGCCCACGGTGGTCACACGAGGTATTGACTTCAGCGCCACCACACGTCTCCATGTGACACTCCAACTGACTTTCCTCGACTTGGTGCCAAAGACGGATAAGTCTGCATTCCCAGTGTGCAATTTCACTATATTTCATTGACTCATAAAGCCTACAAGATGTTTCAAAATAAACATAAAAATACAGTTGAAATTCCTATATGCGTTTCTTTTTTAGGAGAGTATACTATGAAAAGAAAGTAAGGGATATTCTATTTTAGGTCGGGATATATTTTGGGGGGAAGTGGTATGATTGTTTATGGACTTAGAAAATGATTGTTCCGTTTGCAATGTGTTATGAATTTTGTGCAAACATGCCAATTTCATGCGTTTTCCTTGATGCGTACATGAACATGGTTGGGATCAAATTTGAAATTAACAATGAAATGTGTCAGTGTGTTGATGTACACTTCAGCGATAAAAACCAGACTGAAAGTGGTTCTGATATTGTGTTAATCTCATTTAAACTTGTTTGCAATGTGGCCGATGTCAGAAACAGCTACTTGCAAGTCGCATGTTGAAAGTTGGAGCAAGACAGAGCATTGTGGCAAGAGCTCTTATCATCACTCAGTCAGTTATTAGCAGATTACAACCACAATACTGACAGACAAATAACTTTAATGACAGAACAAGGGCGACAACTGGCACACGAGACCATTTCATCAGAACGACTGTGTTGCGAAACTGTGGTCAAAGTGCCTCTCAAACCGAAGTCCACGTGTCATCCCTCCATTGACGGTCCATCACATTATGTCATTTGTATAATGAGTGCCAGAACACCTTGACGTGTTATTTATTGTGTCACTGGGCAGAACTATCATAACAGCATCCTGCATACACGTTGCTATCTCTCAGCGACATGGGCGTAGTTTTGCATTTCAGGGGTACAGCACAAGAGCACACAGGGTACTAATACCATGGTCAGCACTCAGTCCAGACTTGTCCCCCATTGTACATGTCTGGCTTATCCTTGGATGGTAGACATGTCCAGATCAACAACCACCGACTACTCTTGGTGCTTCCCTGCAGAAAGAATGGGATGGAATGAAGCAAGTTGACACTGGACATTTGGTTAGGAGTGTACCTCTTCGAATTCGGGATGGTGTTTAGAGTAGTGCCAGAAAGAATGTGATGGACTGAACCAAGCTGACACTGGACATTTGGTTAGGAGTGTACCTCTTCGAATCCGGGATGGTGTTGTTTAGAGTAGTGCCAGAAAGAATGTGATGGACTGAACCAAGCTGACACTGGACATTTGGTTAGGAGTGTACCTCTTCGAATCTGGGATGGTGTTTAGAGTAGTGCCAGAAAGAATGTGATGGACTGAACCAAGCTGACACTGGACATTTGGTTAGGAGTGTACCTCTTCGAATCTGGGATGGTGTTTAGAGTAGTGCCAGAAAGAATGTGATGGACTGAACCAAGCTGACACTGGACATTTGGTTAGGAGTGTACCTCTTCGAATCCGGGATGGTGTTTAGAGTAGTGCCAGAAAAAGAATGTGATGGACTGAACCAAGCTGACACTGGACATTTGGCTAGGAGTGTACCTCTTCGAATCCGGGATGGTGTTTAGAGTAGTGCCAGAAAGAATGTGATGGACTGAACCAAGCTGACACTGGACATTTGGTTAGGAGTGTGCCTCATCAAATTCGGGATTGTCTTCAGAGTAGAGCCAGATTCACCTGATGTCAATGAGTTTGACTTTTCATGGTACATGACATGATGGACAGTCAAATGCTTTGGTGAATCATCTACCATTTAACGACAAATACAAATCAGTCAGATGTCCCCATTGCACTGTTTTTCTCATTCAAGTTGTGACACTGTTTTGTCCAATATCCCCTACTTTTTTATATGTAATACTACAATAAAACAAAAGGATAGATGCTTTAATGTTTGGAGGTCCATGTTTCAGGAACATCTTTCTCGGAGAGACGTTCTCCAGCTACATCAGCGTCCACAACGACTGCGACCAGATCTGCCGGGACATCGTCCTCAAGGTAGCAACATCAAATCTCATTCTAGTAAACCTGTGAAGGTCCTGGTTAGAATGAGCCTTCAGTAACCCATGCTTGTCGTAAGAGGCAACTAATGGGATCGGGTGGTCAGGCTCGCTGGCTTGGTTGACACATGTTGTCGGTTCCCATTTGTGCAGATCGATGCTCATGCTGTTGATAACTGGATTGTCTGGTCCAGACTCGATTATTTACAGACCGCCGCCATATAGCTGGAATATTGCTGGGTGCGGGCGTAAAACTACACTCACTCACTCACTCTCATTCCAGTTATTGTCTAACAATGAATTCATTGTGTTTTATAAATGCTTATGCCATAGACCCTTTGAATGCTAAGTATTTTAGGGTTGACAATCAAAGGCTTTTAGACTATTACAGTAGTGTTTACTTTTATTCTGGAAACCAAACTGTAATCATCGGACAAAGGACCAGGTTGGATGTAACTGATGCTCCTAGATCTGAATTAATATTTGGATTGTCAAAGGCTTCTGTACTGTTACAAAAGTGTTGACATTCTGGAACCCAACTAATCGTGGGACAAAGGACCAGGTTGGATGCTGCTGATGTTCCTAGATCTGAATTTACATTTCACTCATCTGGTTAGCTGTTCTTATCAATAAGCTGTCTTATATTATTGGGTTTGCTAAGTAAGTAATGTACTAAGTTATTTGAATGGGCCACATTTGGCCGCTTCTGTGGTGCCATTGATTTCCTGAAAGTGAGATCACATGTCAAGCAAGAGAAGTTACTTTGTGTGAAATGTAAACACTTTTAGTCAACATTGATCAGAGCAGTTTTATTTACTTTCACTTCTTATCATATATTTCAAATAAGGGATTATTTTTAAACCGAATTCGGATTCATATTGCATTCAATCTTGTCTTTATTTCTATGCTTCATCATAAATATACAACACATCCCAACAAGCTTGGATTCTCTGTCATGTTTACATCTAGAAAAGAACATGGTTTGTATAAAACACCACTTGATGTGAGTGGATTATACATTTTGTTATTGGTTGTAAAGATACTTCTTTCGCTGACTTTCACAGACTGCATGTTAAGGGGATCCATCACAACAACTAACGTTTCCATTGCCAAATCTGTAGAAAAAGGGTATCAACAACTGTGGGATTTCGACAGTTAATGCTCTGAAATCCATGCTCCTACATGGATACTTACTTCAACGTAAGCTTTCAAAGCAATGGACACTTTCAACACAAATCCCTTTAAAATGTACAGTTTGACTTTTCCACGATACTTGTAAAATTGCTGACGCATTAAAGCCTAAACTGTGAAGGAAGACCTAAAATAACTATATCTAAGTATTGACAGCAAAAAGGTGTGTCTGCTGATGAGGATGTCATAATTCGCGTTGAAACGATCATTTTCCGCAGTTTTGTTTCGACACTCAGGAGGGTGCCCTCGCTTAACGCGTAATTGCAATAAATATAGAGGGTGTCAAGCTATTACAGAAAGATCTGTAAATTTCTAGACCCGTCTGCCAATTGGCAAAACCTGATATACTTGCAAATTAATGAAAATGCGATGGAAATCTTACCATTACTCTTGCGCCACATGTTCTTCTTTCACTGTCCAGCGAGGAAATGGAGTTGCTTTTGAGGCAACTCCACATTTTGCGTGGACAGCTTCCACCCTGTATTATTGCTTCCACCCTGTATTATCTACCATGATGTCTTCAGCTCCATATTCAGTGGAGTTTGTACAACAGTGTTAATTTTCTATGCACATTTATTACCTCTGGACTGGGATATTATGATGTAGAAGTATCTAAGAACTATACTTGACTTTCCAACAGATGAACATGTTAGTCAAAGGGGGATAACTCCAGGTTGTGCATTCAGATTGAGATGAGAAAGGGAAATGCTTCACTTCTTGTAGGGGTTCACTTACCCATTTTGATCAAGTGTATTGTTCCAATAGATGTTTTCAATATATAACCAATGGTAGAAAGCTGTAGAAATACATAATGTAAATGATAAAACTTTTCATTTGGTTTTGATCCAAACTATTTTTTGTTTAAAGAAACATATAGCTGCTGAGTCAGACTTTGTTCATAAGACCATCAGACATGACAATTTCCAAAGGCACTAAGCTCCCTTTACATCCCAAGCAGTTCCTGGGGTATAGGGCAGGGCAGATATGTTAGGCTTCAGCAAATATTCCACTGAAATCGACATGTGATGGTAAAGTATTTAAACTATTGCAAGACTGAATTATCAGAATAAATGTTTCAATAGATTTGCTGTGGTGTTTAGAACTGTAGTGATACCCACTAAGTAGTAAAATGAAGCTGGTAATCCTCCCTTACATGAGTCCATCACATGGACATGTGGCACTTAGCCCATGGTGATCCATTCCTTGTGCACTGAGGTAGACTTACATCTAGTCTCTCAAATGAACATTTTTGCAGAAAACTTGGTTCCTAATTATAATCATAAAATATAATGCAAAGGAGCCCTGAGACTTTCTTCATCCTGAAACTGTGGAATTCTAGACTTGCCACATATTCTAGACTTGCATGGGTGTTCCTGGAAAAAATTGTTTTAAGGTCTGTATGACAGTTTACTGGCAACTGTACAATGTCGTACGCCAGTGTGTGAATCTATGCACATTTACATTGGTTTTTTGTTGTTGTTGTTGCTATCAGATCAGCCGGTTGCGATGTTCTTGGGGTATGACAGACTAGCATTACTACTGTACTTGTTTTTTACAGGCAGACCTGCAGACCAGCTCCCAGAGACTGTCTCTGTCCAGCATCAACTCTCAGCCAATCATGGAGCTTCTGCCGGACCACAGCATCGATGACGTCATACACCACGAGGTCAAGGAACTTGGCACCCACATGTCAGTATCCTGTACAATGCCTTCACTGTTGCTATTTCCCTTTTATTAAGTGTATCTCAAGAGAAAACAAAACACAAAGGCATTGAACTCCACTCCACTCCTGTCTACTCTCACTCACTCACTCATAATCTCTGATGCATGAAGATCTGGGTTAGAATTAGTCTTCAGTAACCCATGCTTGTCGTAAGAGGTGACTAACGGGATCGGGTGGTCAGGATCGCTGACTTGGTTGACACATGCCATCATATCGCAATTGATCATCGTATCTCATGCTGTTGATCACTGGATTATCTGGTCCTGACTCAATTATTTACAGACCGCCGCCATATAGCTGGGATATTGCTGAGTGCGGCAGTAAACAACCAAAAACCAAAACTCATAATCTCTCTCATCCAACCATTCACAAATCTACACTTTCACTGACTCTTTCAATAAATTCTATTGCAAATTCACTAATACAATATGTACCACTGCTTCAGTAAACCGTTTGTATGATCCAACCCTAGACTCCCAAATGTAGACATAGACTAGTTTCAGAGTCAGTAGTGTGTCATATGTTCTGACTGCCTTCCAGCTTGGTCTGTGCTGTCAGCTACACGCCACAGTCGGGAGAGAAACTGCAGTTCCGGAAGTTCTTCAAGTTTCAGGTAAGACAATAAGTCTTTGGGAGGAGGAGACACCACAGGAAGGAAACTTCTGATTAAGATAATCAGCACTTCTTGGATTCTTCAAAACAAGAAACAATGTATTTAGAAGTAAATAAATGACTAAAGACAGACAGGAAGTACAGATAATGTTCACAGTGGTACAGCGCAGTGAAACTCATACTTATGATGTATGACCAGATAATCACTGAATACCTTGAATTTGTCACTGAAAAATGACACAACAAATGGAAGTTGGGTGCATACTATTTTGTAAAGGCTTTCCATTCATGTTTGTGTTTGGTTTCTTTAGAGAGGCACACTGGTGAGAGATCATTATTTTGTTGAAATTTGGGATATTGTTAAAAATATCAATTTCTTAAATTCTAAAGTAGTTTACATTATATTCAGCACAACAACGTAAACAACGACTAAAGCCTCTTAACCTTTATTATTCTTGTCATCACTGATATCACACTAATATATAGCTAGAGATATAGCTATATTGAACATACATATTGTATGATATTTAGCGAAACAAAATATATTATCCATTTTCTGTCAACTACACCTCATTTCGATCCGTGAGTAGACGCAATATGATTGTGAATTTTTTTAATAATGTGGACCAAAGTTAGGACACCATCGCAGGGGGTCGGCTTATGCACGAAACATACCATTTTGACACTGATTTTAAGGGTCAAGTTTGGGGGTCGTCTTATCTATGGGGTCGGCTTATAGACGGTAATATACGGTAAACTGGAAACTGTTTAATACCAGCTGTGGACCTTTGACTGATGCTTGCTGCAGACTTGGGGCTGTATACTGAGCAACCAGGGTAAGCCGCACCATGGAGAGGGGTACCACATCAGGGTCCTATCAGATTCTAATTAGACTGACTTCAAACATAACATTTGACTTCACTGGTGCTGGTTGGTGCAAGAGTTGTTCTCTGAGAAACAGTTGTGTTGAAGGTATGGGTTTATGTTGTAGGTGCTGAAACCACTTGACGTTAAAACCAAGTTTTACAACGCTGAGGTGAGAGCCATGTTACATCGCTCTGTTGAGTGTACAAGTTGTGTTATTTGCACTCTGTTGCTGAAAACACTTTCCTTGAACTAATGACTTTCAATACTGTAAAATGACAGGAATTACAGTTCTCTTTTTTTTATATAGAATATCCTCAATAATCTCATGGTATATTTTCAACCATGTTTGGCCTTATAAATGCATTCAGAATTATTTTGGTAGAATACAGATACTAAAAATTGGTTGTTTTAATTTATGCCTTTTGTATTAAGTTTGTGTTTTTGAAATCTAACAACTAATATTTTAGCACCACCTTGTGGTAGATCAAGGAGGATAACTCTAATTTGTGTTCATTGTACAACTGTTCTGTTGTCATGAATCATCATTTTGTCTTCAATATTTCAATCAATTAGTGTATCATACCTTGATATATATTCGTATGAAACAATATGTAAGTGGAATTACATTGGCAGCTTTGGCACATAAATCTGTCACAATTTGATGTTAACTGTATGATTATTGTCAAGCATTTATCTGGTCAAACATGGCATTTAGTTTCTAATTCAATAAAATTTTCAATTTCATTTTCTTAAAATACTTCCTAGTATAACTATTAGATTATGTAACAAGAACATATTGTAAACTCATCAAAATGAGAATACTTGGCAATTCATCTAGGACATCTCTGCTCAAAGCACAGCTAAGATTTTGTTCTCGAATCTGTTTGATCACATTTTCCTGCGGCCAATATTTGTTTAATGTTCACTTGATGCTATATATTTGATTTTAATTCCTTCTCCTTTGTTTCCTTGTTATTTGCATGAGCAGGACTTTTTAGTAAGTGATTTCAATTTTCTGTTGGTCTGTGACTAACCATGCTTGTTCAGCTACACTGATTTGCCTTGATGTTTTACACGGAGTCAGATCTGGGGGTTCACTGTTCTGAACTAATTGAAGCATCCTTATATCTAACTTTCTTGATTGGATGAAAGGTGCTGTATGGTAGGAGGAATTTAAGGTTTAATGAAATCATAACCATAGAAACTATATCAGGATGTATATTCATGTGACACAATATTAAGATAAAATTAGTTGTTACATTTTCTTTAAAATAGCAGTAAACAAAAAGCAACTGACAATAATTACTTATCAACATTAAATTTTCATATTCCCACAACAATATAGAAACTTTACTTGGGGGCAATAAAATGATATGGGTGTTTGGTGTGAGGTGAGTATGTATGAAAATCTTATAAATTATTAATATAACCTTATGCACTATTGTAATTTCTCAATGGAGTTTTCATTTTATATTTCATGTGGATTGTAATAGGTGTAATATTTGTATTGACAGTGGTGAATACCTCAGTATGCTGTCATCTGTTGACCTGTTTGTCATGTAGACACACTCTCGGATTGTATGCTGTATGTTAGTTATGGGAGAATCAACCCAGTGTATCCCATGACAGTTTGATGCTTCACATTTTGACTGCTGCCACCACCATTTGAAAACCATGTACCGGTTGTACTTTGCCATCTTATGCAGATCACCATTTAAATCCTGCAAAACTTTTTGAAATGTTATGTCATGGGTCAAGGTCATTCTCAAGGTCATAGATTTACTGTAGGTCAATGAAACCTTTCTTCCTTAGAGTGTAAAAAGTACTGAGTTACCCAGGTATATGGTGAAGTAAAGTAAAGTATCCAGGGTCATATTTACTTCAAATTCCACCTTGGGATACCATGTTTGACTTAAAAGCTTGGTCTACCCCTTCCAATGATCTTAAAATGCCTCAAGGTCATAAGCTCAAAAGTTTATCAGATTTTCAATAACAAAAAAGTAATCAATATTGAAGTTTGGACTTGGTAGTGATGCAAGTGAATATTTACTGCTAAAAGATTTTCTGGTCCTTTGAATTAAAGATGATTGTAAATATTCTCTGTGTCAGTCAGGATATATGTTTGTAAGAGCTCATATACATGTTTTCAAATAGAATCAGTAAAATAAATTGCTTGACTGCAGTTGAGGGTCAAAGTCATTCACCTGGATGTGCATATAACTCTAGAATTATGGTAGCTACGAACCTGCTGTCACATGTTTTCCCATTCAGCAAATGGCACGAAACCAAAGTGCATATTGTAGGGTAGCTAGAGGAACAGGACTAACTTATACTGTACTTCATCAAAGGTGAATGGATAGATATTGGTAAGGTCAGGTGTCACCTTATTTGTTTGAATGTTCACATTTTCTGATTTGATGATATAGCTTGGGGCATTTATGAAATGGTTGGATTTGAAGCAGCAGCATGATCTGAACATCTTGTTAAGGTTCACATAGCTCCACATTGCCTATATAAGAACTGACTAGAATGAGGATTGCAGTGTGTGACCAAGGTGATTCTGTCTCACTGTACTCTGATGGTTTTCGGGGTGGTGGGGTAGCCTAATGATTACAGCGTTGGCTCGTCACGCCAGGGACCCGGGTTCGAATCCCCACATGGGTACAATGTGTGAAGCCCATTTCTGGTGTCCCCCGCCGTGATGTTGCTGGAATATTGCTAAAAGCGGCATAAAACCAAACTCAGTCAGTCGGTCAGTCTGATGGTTTTCATAGTATCGTGCTGACAAGCACTGAATGCTTGCCCAGGTATAATGATTAGGCAGCAGCAATTCAACTGGAATATTGCTGACCCAGCAGAATAAAACTTCCACTTCTAGTAGATTGTTGAAAGAGTTTGGATGTTCTTGTTGGCCTTACCCTCAAGTAGAGTAAAGAGCATGGTCTGTTGTTCACACAATCAAGCATACTTGATTGAATATTGACTTACCTTAGATTCCAGTTACCTCCCCTTCCACTTTTCATATCGATCACTTTTTTTAACATTGTCTTTGAATGTCACACACTTAAAACCTTTGTATTCCTGTCACTATCAATTTTTCTATTATCATATCACTTTTGTATTTTCTTTTCTTATAATCATGTTATGAACTGTACACATTGTTGACACCATTTTGGTTATTGTCCGTGGGAATTCAGGGTTGGTACTGGCCTCCTGCAACAATTGCTGGTTGTAAGAAGCAATTTAACACATCAGGTGGTCTTGCTCAGTGACTTTGCTGATATCATGTCATTGTATCCCAACAGGATGTTCATTATATCAATCACTGGATTGTTTGGTCCAGACTGGATTATTCACAAGCTGTTGTTTATGCTGAGTGATAAATGACAAACAAACATTCTGTACTTATCAGTAATGAAATTTCAAACAAACTGTATGTTGGGTTAGAACTGGTGTTCAGCAACCAATACTATCAGAGGTGACTAACGGGATTGGGTAGTCAGGCTTGCTGAAACCGCCTCTCCATGGTGTAGTGGTTAGAGCGTCCGCCCGGGGAGCAGAAGGTCGCGAGTTCGATCCCCAACCGCGTCATACCAAAAGACGTTAAAATATGGTACTTGTTGGTCCCTGCCTGGCACTCGGCATTAATGGGTACAACAAGGACTGGTCGGCTCGGAGTCAGTATAATGTCTCTGAGTGGGGTATTCATGCTTCACTGCGGCATGGTATCTCAGGGGACTAGCACTATGAAACCAGCTTAAGTCTGGGCTAGTACAAGCAGCCGCACATACACACGCATACATGTCATATGAGCGAAATATTCTCAAGCACGATGTTAAACCCAATTTCACCTCACCTCACCTCACCTCAGGCTTACTGACTAGGTTTACAGGTCAACATAATCCCAGCTGCAATTACCTGGCCTACGATCCATGTTATGAATAACAGAGTTTTATAAATGGACTCTTAGACCCATGTTATAGCAAAATTTCTTTGTTTCTTGTTTAACACCGTACTGAGCAATTTTCAGTTATATTGAGAACAATTGAGTCTGGTCCAGACAATCCATTTTTGAAAAATGAACATCATTCTGCACATTTTGGATATGATGACACATGTCAACCAAGTCAGTGAAGCAGTTACCCGATCCTGTTAGTCACCTCTTATAGCATTGGTTGCTGAAGACCAATTCTAACCTGGATCTTCACAGGGGGTAATGCCAAAGGTTGACTGTAGCTTGAATAACAGATTAATCTTTTAGGGTTATGCTGAAAGCAAACATATTCAGTGTAAAAACATGTGTATGATACCGTTCCTTACTGTAGATGTTGTGTATATGGTCTGGACTAGTCTTCCTTCCCATGATGATCGCTCCCCCAATCCTCCCCTAGATGTACCTTATTTTGATGTTGTTCCATAGAAGTGATTAGTGGATAGTTTCCATAGATATGTTTGAGCAATGCCTGCAACAGGAAGGTGAGAAAATGTTTACTCTGTTCCAAGTTCTTTTTTTGATGGCAGTCTGAAGTTCTATATTTTGTTCGGCACTTTTAGACAAGTGTATATAAACAGTGTTATCAAGCGTATAAAGCAATGTGATAAATATGCAAATGAAAACAAAGTATGTTTATCTCCACTATTCCATCACAAAATTAATGATTCTGTGGAGTCAGGAAAGATGCTGAGTGGTTGGTTAGTAGGATGTTTAACGCTGCACTCAGCAATATTCCAGATATATGGCAGCGGTCTGTAACTAATTAAGTTCAGTGATCAACATCATGAGCATCGTTCTATGTAATTAGGATGCAATGGTGTGTCAACATCCCATGAAAACTTTCCACATTTTTCGGTCAGGCAGGCAGATTGAACGATAATGATTAAAATGCACAAAGGAAAAAAGATACATTTATATTGAAAAACATCAAAGTGCATAATTTAAATTTTCCTACTGTCAAAGTATAATGTCCAAACTCTTGACAATGGTGGTTTACCATTACATCAAGTCCCAGATTAGCTACAGGACAGTGAGTGAGTTAAAATATGAGATATTATCAGCTGTATTGAAATAAGGCTCAGTTACTCACCTCTTACAACAAGCATGGGTTACTGAACACCAATTAACCCAGATCATCATGGGGAGATATTGAGTGGAGCAGCATAGTGAAGGCATCTGACTTTTCTGTGTTACCTGAATCCTGAACTGAATTAAGTTATTTCATTTTCAAGGCCAACTTGGATGTATGTATAAACATTTTGTTGTCCTCTCTAGCCCATTAACCCAGCCGTCACCCTGACTAACTCTGTATGGGCTACCTGTCATGTCTGCATTGTCTTGTCCACTTCCACATGAATGTACAACAGCAGACGTGGAGAACTTTCCTGCAAACACTCCAAATGTACAAACACAATCTCAGAAATCAGATCTTTCACTTCGATATGATACCTCTGTGCACGAAAACCCAACATCTTCAAAGGTGAATGTGTCAGGTGAACTTTCCTTTAACCAGCCAGTGTTAAGACTTCTAACTTTTCAGTACTAGTGAGCAAGGCATTTACACCAGCATATCTGCTTTTTGTATCTCAAAAACGATCCAAATGACCTTCACAAATGTACTAAAGACCAATCAACCATTTTGCAAATCATGGAACAACTTGTCAAGTCATTGACACTACACTGAAAGCAAGGATCCATTATATTAAACCAAATCAATCCATGATTTGGTCCTTAGCAAATTTTAAAGAAGACTAACATGGATATCTTTAACACATTGTCACTTCTGAAGTCTATGGCATCAACACTGAAAGATGTACCATCCAGGGTAATTTAGGGCCTTTGTTTGAAATTGAAACTGATGATGTAAAGAAATTAAACTGGTTCATTTTAATAAACTGGAATCTGATTGGCTCATGAACCATATTATTGTTCATTTAAATTATTTAGTCAAACATTGCTCAGTGTTCACCTGATCTTCTGAGGAGATGTGGTCAGATCTTCAAGCAGAGTGGCTATCTAAGTACAAGATTTCATTTCTATTAGATTGATACAAGTACTAATGACAATATATGCTCCAGTCTATGTGCATCTCACTGCAACACGTTCACCCATTAATATGAATTGTCATAAACATCATATATGTAACCGACAAAGGTGTCCATTTTATTTGGACACATTTTCTATTTCTTTGTTTTTGGATGTACTGTTTCAAAGCCCAAATACTGCCATAAATCAAACAAGTTACTCCTTTTCAGATGATCACTGAAAAAAATAATTATAAATAATTGGTGTACTGATAACACAACCAACCCTAAAACAGTGATTTTTGAAAAACATCCAGAAATAATATATTATCACCAAACCTGATAATCTTGCTTTAAATATAAATTGCTAGTTGCTTTCACTAAGATGAAAAATAGTATTTTCCCGTCCCTGTTTCTATTGAAAATAAAAATTGAAGGAATCTAACTGAATTTGTATTTTTATCTATTTTTTAATTATTAAGTTTAATTGTATTTTTATTTCAACTTAAAGGTGACTCAGATCCATGAACCATCTGATCAAATATTAATAAGCTAAATATGCATCACATCATTAACTGGCTCAACTAATGCATACAATATAATCATACACTACAACAACAAAATCAACCTAATAGATATCAGTTCCCTTAAAGTTGCTAAGCATATTGTTCCAATCAATAACCCACCTTTTTATTTTATCTTACATACACAATATAGAAATGAAATATACATTGTACAAAAAAGTCATGATTTTAAACAATATGTATATAAACTGGCAATATAAGGGATTAATTAGCTAATTTTCATGTAGGAGTTATTTTCCCTTTGTCCTGTTTATATAGGGGTTAGCCTCATGGTTGAAGCATTTGCTCATTACACTAAAGAGCTGGGTTCGAACCCCCACATGGTACAATGAGTGATGCCTATTTGTGGCATTCCCCAATGATTTTGCTGGAATATTGCACAAAAAAATAGCTTTAAACCATACTTACTCATTCACTTACTCACTCACCCTGTTAATGTACCTTCACTACATGGCATGGCGTCCTCTAGAAGAAATACACTATTGGAACATGCTGCTTTGATATAGTTGTGTTATCATACCTGTACACTGACAATGTCCTCTGTATATATGATCAGAATGAGGTGATACTTAGTGTTGTCAGGAAACTGCTGGCAGTTGATGATCAACAGGGACTGTTCATGATTTATGGCTAGAGGGGTGGATGGATAATGATGATTTTTAGAGGGGGTGACCCGTTTTGTTCTGGAGTGAGTATGATCTTTACGCCGTTTTTAGCAATATTCTAGCAATATCGCGGCGGGGGACACCACAGATGGGCTTCACACATTGTGCCCATGTGGGGAATCGAACCCGGGTCTTCGGCATGACGACCGAACGCTTTAACCGCTAGGCTACCCCACCGCCCCTTTTGTTCTGGAGAGGTATGGGGGAGAGAGGGGTCATCAATTTTGTACACATGTACTAGGGTCATTGATTTTGTACATGACATGAGTGTGTGTGTGGGGGGGGGGGCACTTACATTGTACATAAATTTTAGGGGTGGTTATTTACCATAAAAAATCATCATTAACCCCACTCACCCATCCCACCCCTAGCCATAAAATATGAACGGTCCCTAACAAACGAGACTTCACTGTGTACAGGCTGCTGCCACATAGCTGTAATATTGCTGACTGCAGCACAAAACATCACTCACAGCTTGAGATATGGTCATGGGTTTGAATCCCGGCCTGATTTGTTTCTAGGTGCATCAGCACAATATCCATGTGAGACTTGCATCACTCTGGGTTTTCTACCCATAATAACCAGCTCTACCCTTATTTATCTGGAATACTGATTAAAGAGGCATTAATCCCAATCCTAAATATGACCCATGACTGAATATATTAAGTATGTTCATTATGTTTCAGCTGCTTGACAGACTCATTGTTTATAATCCCTCTTGATATGCTTAGCTGCATCTTGAAATCATGTACTCACAGAAAATCCTTGTGGCATCTTGTTTTATTTTTAAATAATACCTCCATTTGTGACTGGCACCCAACTCATTCATTGGGGCCATCAAACAGAGAAATATGTACTGTATAAATGTTAATGAAAAGCATGGGGGATTAGTTATAGCATCCCAAAAAATGAAACATGAAAAAGTATTACTAAGAATGATAAAATATAATTCAGAAGAAACTGGGTAAGTAGATTTGTTGTGGTCCACCTGCATCTTAAGTCATTATTTGTAACCGGATAACTACATCTCTGACAGCAGAAGATCAGTGGGTTAATCCTGGGGCCCGTTTCACAAAGGGATCATGGCGCTATGACTGTCGTAAGTCTATGTTCAAGTATGGGAGTTACGATCACCTTAACATTATGATCGCTTTGTGAAATGGCGCCCTGGTCTGTATTTTACCATAAGATGGTAAAGTTGGTATTTGTTGTGACTCTGATCGGTACTCGGAATTAAAGGAACCCAACCCAAGATTTGTTGGCTCAGAGTCAGTACACAGTGAGGTATTCCTGATAACCTGTGGAATGGCACCTCAGTGGACTTGCTCTGTAAAACTGGCATTGGTCCAGAGTTGTACAGCAGCACAGGTCATTTCACAGATCACTATCACAGAAACAGGAACAGAATTCACTAAACATAACACAGTGGTACTTGTGTGTTGAGTTGTAGGCCCATGGTGCATGAGCACATATTTGTCAAATGTTTTATGGTCTCATGTAATCATAGTACCAGGAACCTCCTGCCCAGTCCCTACTGAATACTCCCTTGTACTGATGGCAGGGTAACTGTCTCCTGAAAACTGCCCCCAAGGAAATTGCCCCTAGAAAACAGCCCCAAATGGAGAAAATGCCCCCAAAGGAAAGTACCCCTGGACAATTGGCCCCAGGGAATCTGGAAGCCTGACACAGAAAGTCAGCAGTTTTCCAGTTGACATTAACCTGATACGTTAAAATTTAATACCTAGAAACTCGTACCTACTATTCAGAACTTACTACTCACACCTGTTAACCTTGCTTTTCGTCAGAGACAGAAACAAAGCATCTGAATGTCACATCACCTTCCTCCTATCATAGTCTGGCTGGCTTGGTGTGTGATCTTACCCTGAGCATGGACAACATGTGCATGCTTTTGACCTCATTCCATTGCAGTTAATGCTACATTTGGCCTCTTCCTTCTCTCTCTACCAGCCAGCGACCTCTCTTCCATTGCATATACATGTATGCCAATGTAGCAGTTCATTTACAAGGGTCATTTAATGACTATCATGTTGTTACTGCCGTTGTATATATTCTATTATAGCAGTTTATATACAAGGGTAATATAATGACTATCAAGTTATCTTTTTGCCATGGTATATATTCTATTAAAGCAGATTATTTGCAGGGGTCATTTAATGACTATCAATCTTTCTTTCTGCCATTGTATATATTCTATGAATGTGTTTCATTTAATAATATGCAGCCATCTTCAAAGTATTTTTCTGCCATTGTGTATATTCTGTTGAAGTAGTTAATTTCAAGGTATCATGTCTCAGAAATGTTTTAACATACTAGCCATTAATATATCCTGTTACAGATTATAATTTCAAGGTATCTCTTTACCACAGTATATATCCTCTTAATATCATTTGTCATTGAATCATATCTCAAACAATTTTTAACATAATACCACCAACCTATCTTTCTAACGTTGTATATATCCTCGCACAGCAGTTACTTTAAAGGGACATGTCATTTTATGGCAATGCTTATGATAACATTTTCAACAACCATTTGTAACATGTTATATCTTGGATTACACTTCTTTGATTCTAGTACTTTTTGGGGTTGAGTCCCATCCATGATACAAACACACACTTTCACTATCAGAAACCTAATCGCCATTCACAAAGTCAGTGATCTAACCCACACAGCCACCATTCCTTCCACACTTACTGAAAAAGTGGAATCCAAACTATAACATGTTACATATGGCCACTTTCTGTATGACATTGTGTATTCATACTCTCTACCACTTTTTAACTGTGAAACTGTTATTTCTGAGGGAATGGTTCTGGATTAACAAACATCTTGATCAGTAAGTCATTGAAATTTAATAAAATCCTCCGAAAACACATAGCTGTTCTTAACAAAGTCACGTAATTTTTGTGCCATTATTATTTCATCCATCAGCGGCAACAAAATGATTGGTGGTCAGGCTTGGTGACAAGGTTCATGATGTGCCATGCGTGCAAACTTTGCTCATGATATCAATCACTAGTTTGTCTTACCTCCCTACAGGCATGGTACTGTATTTGTACAAAGCCTACACCATTTATCAAAGGTCAAGGTCATATTTAAGGTCAAGGTTAAACGTGTCATATCATGTGTATTTCCTGTAACTGTTACAAGTGTACGACTTCACCTGTATAGTCCAGAGACTTGTGTAAGGTCAAGTTTTGAAAGTAATGACAGTGGATTAAAGACTAAAACATTTAGGAAACAACAGTGACAAAGCTGATCCAGTATTTGCAAGTTCATGCAAACACTTCTGGTTGAAGTATCTTTCTGCAAATATTATCTACAGCAGTTTAAAGTGTCAATTTATACTTATATCACATGTAGGTTTTTGGTGTCCCCCGCCATGATATAGCTGGAATATTGCTAAAAGTGGCATAAAACTAAACTCACTCACTCATGTAGATTCTACCACACAGCTGTTGCTCAACCTAAACTGGTGTCAAATCACATATATTATTTTAGTTTTGTCATTATTCCCACAAAATGGTTGTCACTAACATACATGGCTAAATCTTGTCAGTGTTAGTTTGATCCAGTTAAGGCAAACTGAATTTTAAAGTAGAAGTTCTAACATGACTAATCTCATTTGTAAAATATGGAGAGTGAAGAATCACCTTTGTAAGTATTTGATGCTTTTAATGCTTGCTTACTTGCATTAGTTTGGAACTCTTCTTCATTGGATATTCTTATTGTTACTTCCTCAGCTTTATGTATACAATGTCTTTAACAGAAATGAATCAGACTTTTTATGTACGAAACAGTATCACAGCTACTGTAAATGTAGAATTGTGATAACAAGTTTGCGTGATGTGAACGCTGAGTTTTATGTACCTGTAGTCTGACGAGGTTTACTTGGAGGCTCAGATCCAGAACATTACACCTGGACCGATCTACATGGATCATGTCAGTCTGGAGCCGTCGCCGCAGTACCACGTGAAGGAACTGAACTCAGTCACTCCAGACACAGGGTAGGTGTACATCACAGGCTCAAGCACTAGGGGAATACTTTGTTAATATAGTATGGAACTTGATCAATGTGTAAACACTATTGGAATACTATATAGATACTGTATCCAACATGAACACCATTTATATGCTAGATAAATACTTGTGGACTATAGTGTACTATGTGATAACACTATATGAACACTACTGGAACATTATGTGAACAGTGAGCTAAGACCATGCACATTCCATAAAGACCATGAATAACAGACACACTTTGTGAACATTGTGTAAGTATTGTGTTAACAATATGAACAATGAGAGAACACCATGAATAGGTGTGTTAACACTTTGTGAACATTGAGTAAGTATTGTGTTAACAATATGAACAATGAGAGAACACCATGAATAGGTATGTTAACACTTTGTGAACATTGAGTAAGTATTGTGTTAACAATATGAACAATGAGAGAACACCATGAATAGGTGTGTTAACACTTTGTGAACATTGAGTAAGTATTGTGTTAACAATATGAACAATGAGAGAACACCATGAATAGGTGTGTTAACACTTTGTGAACATTGAGTAAGTATTGTGTTAACAATATGAACAATGAGAGAACACCATGAATAGGTATGTTAACACTTTGTGAACATTGAGTAAGTATTGTGTTAACAATATGAACAATGAGAGAACACCATGAGTACATATGTTAACACTTTGTGAACATTCAGTAAGTATTGTGTTAACAATATAACAATGAGAGAACACCATGAATACATGATAGCACAGTGTTAAAAAAGTGTGAACACTTGTAATCACTTACTGACCACAAAGTTTGGACTAAGTGAACAATAAGTGAACATAAGGTTATCACCCATGATAGTGTGTGAACAATGAGTTACCACTATGTTGACAATGGTAACACTGTGAACATCATGTCACCACCAAGTAGAGTTTGTGGACCAGGAGTGAACACTGTGTTACTCCTATGAGCACTCTGGGCACAGTTTGCAAGTACTGTAGTTCTATGGGCTGACTATGATGGAAAACAGGAACACAGTACAAGACCATTGAAACAATGTTTAAACTCCTTTTGAACACCATGTCAACTGACTTTTTGAACTCATGTTTCTGCTCAGACAAGCAGTACATATTCTCCACCTGTAATATATATGTGCTGTTACTTCCAGGATGAAGCAGGTGTTTGGCAAGGCCAACTATTTGAACCAAATGGACACCCGTCAGTACCTGTACTGTCTGTCACCACGACCTGAGCTGTACTCAGAGAACAAGGTGCTGAAGGGAGTCACTAACATTGGCAAACTTGACATTGTTTGGAAGACCAACCTCGGGGAGAAGGGGCGACTGCAGACCAGCCAGCTCCAGAGAGTGGTAGGAACTTGAGAGAGGGGCACCGAGCTAGGTTCTCCCGATGATTAGTTCTAGAGATTGGTAGGAACTTGTAATAGGGAAACTGAGGTAGATTGTCCCTACAGTGAGTTCCAGACATTGGTAGGAACTTAGGTAGGAAAAATAGAGTAAACTCCCAACAATTATTTCCAGGGAGTTGTTCAAACTTATCACTGAGCACTGTGGTAGATTCTCACTAGGTTCAACTCCAAATAGTGGCAGGATCTTGTAATAGGGGAACTGAGATAGATTCTCACGACAATTAGTTCCAGAGTGGTAAACTTGTAATAGGAGTACTGAGGTAGATTCTAACATTCAGTTCCAGAGAGTAGGGACTTGGGGGCTTTGAAGTAGAGAAAGTTCACAGTGTCCAATAGGCTCTGTGAGAAGACTTTTATGTGACTTGTAGGAAGAGTGTTATAAATCAAATGTCATGCATATACATTCTGTTCAGTTCCTTGATTCATATCAGTTTTGAAAGCCTCGAATTCTCAGTATGAAATTACAATGTCATCTTCTAACTACCGGTAATATTTGAGAGCTTTATAGTTTCAGAACATTATGTAGTCTGTGTATGGAATGCTTCTCCTCTTCAGGCACCTGGGTTTGGTGACATTCGGCTGACAGTGGAGTCAGTTCCTGACACTGTGGCGCTGGAGGGGACCTTCGCTCTCACCTGCAGGATCACCAACTGTTGGTGGGTATCTACAGCGCCGGAGACAGCTTCCTACACTGTCATACTTATTCATCACATCTACTTCATGGAGTACAACAGTGTTTGGTCACTCACTGAGAAATAACTGATTTAAGGCTTTGTTAGAATAAGTTGAAAATATGTATATTTAGCTTCATTTAGTTCATTTTTTTGTGTCACTGTTTTCTACAGTGCTGCTTCACATACCAGTTGCTTTGCACAGACATGAAAACATGTTTAGTAGTTAGACTTTCATAAAATGTCTTGAATTTAGCATTTAAATTTATCCTCTTTGATTATGTGTGATGAAACCATATTCAGACCCATTCTGTAAACAATTTTAAAACATATTTCTTGATACCATAACTTATAGAATACATGATATGATGAAGTCACAAACACATTTGTACTGAAGAAGTTAAAGTATTCATTTGTCATCCCAAGGGTAAAATCTAATGACTAAGCCCTACAATGTTTCTTGCTATGAAACAAACTGGGAGTTACCTCCCTTTTGTTGATTAGTTTTATAGCTTTGCTGAATAACCAGACAGTTACGAAAATAATGACACCATTACAAAATTATATATTGTCTATCTGATATTTTTTTCAATTTGCTGCATATGAATATTTTATTTCAAGAAATAATTAAATGTTATCCAAGACTGTAGGTAAGATTTTGTTATCCCATCCTTTGTTCTGGATCGATAGATAATATCTGTGAGGATCAAGCAATATAAACTTGCTGTACATGACATAGGGATAAGGTTCAATGTAGCATTTGCAAAGACAAAGTCATAGTAATAGTATGCCAGACTTTGTGCAGATCATGTTGAGGATACTGTGTGACACTGTTTCAGTGAGAGGACAATGGACCTGACACTGGCTCTCCAGAACCAGGGTGTGACAGGGCTCATGTGGTGTGGCATCTCAGGGAAACAGCTGGGGAAGCTGCAGCAGAACGACAGCATGGACATCCCCCTCACCATGCTGGCCACGACTCCTGGACTCCAGGTAAACTTAGTCCCCCCTCACCATGCTGGCCACCATTCCCAGACTCCAGGTAAACTTAGTCCCCCCTCACCATGCTGGCCACCATTCCCGGACTCCAGGTAAACTTAGTCCCCCTCACCATGCTGGCCACCATTCCCGGACTCCAGGTAAACTTAGTCCCCCTCACCATGCTGGCCACCATTCCAGACTCCAGGTAAACTTAGTCCCCCACCATCACCATGCTGGCTCCAGGTAACCATTCCCGCTGACTCCAGGTAAACTTAGTCCCCCCTCACCATGCTGGCCACCATTCCCGGACTCCAGGTAAACTTAGTCCCCCTCACCATGCTGGCCACCATTCCCGGACTCCAGGTAAACTTAGTCCCCCTCACCATGCTGGCCACCATTCCCAGACTCCAGGTAAACTTAGTCCCCCTCACCATGCTGGCCACCATTCCCGGACTCCAGGTAAACTTAGTCCCCCTCACCATGCTGGCCACCATTCCTGGACTCCAGGTAAACTTAGTCCCCCCATCACCATGCTGGCCACCATTCCCATGGACTCCAGGTAAACTTAGTCCCCCTCACCATGCTGGCCACCATTCCCACCATGGACTCCATAAACTTAGTCCCCCTCACCATGCTGGCCACCATTCCCGGACTCCAGGTAAACTTAGTCCCCCTCACCATGCTGGCCACCATTCCTGGACTCCAGGTAAACTTAGTCCCCCTCACCATGCTGGCCACCATTCCCGGACTCCAGGTAAACTTAGTCCCCCCTCACCATGCTGGCCACCATTCCCGGACTCCAGGTAAACTTAGTCCCCCTCACCATGCTGGCCACCATTCCTTCCTGTGACTCCAGGTAAACTTAGTCCCCCCTCACCATGCTGGCCACCATTCCCGGACTCCAGGTAAACTTAGTCTCCCCTCACCATGCTGGCCACCATTCCCGGACTCCAGGTAAACTTAGTCCCCCTGGCCACCATCACTCATGCTGGTCCACCATTCCAGACTCCAGGTAAACTTAGTCCCCCTCACCATGCTGGCCACCATTCCTGGACTCCAGGTAAACTTAGTCCCCCTCACCATGCTGGCCACCATTCCTGGACTCCAGGTAAACTTAGTCCCCCTCACCATGCTGGCCACCATTCCCGGACTCCAGGTAAACTTAGTCCCCTCACCATGCTGGCCACCATTCCCCATTCCTGGACTCCAGGTAAACTTAGTCCCCCTCACCATGCTGGCCACCATTCCCGGACTCCAGGTAAACTTAGTCCCCCTCACCATGCTGGCCACCATTCCCAGACTCCAGGTAAACTTAGTCCCCCTCACCATGCTGGCCACCATTCCCGGACTCCAGGTAAACTTAGTCCCCCTCACCATGCTGGCCACCATTCCCCATTCCCGGACTCCAGGTAAACTTAGTCCCCTCACCATGCTGGCCACCATTCCCCTCACCATGCTGGCCACTCCAGGTAAACTTAGTCCCCCCTCACCATGCTGGCCACCATTCCCGGACTCCAGGTAAACTTAGTCCCCTCACCATGCTGGCCACCATTCCTGGACTCCAGGTAAACTTAGTCCCCCTCACCATGCTGGCCACCATTCCCGGACTCCAGGTAAACTTAGTCCCTCACCATGCTGGCCACCATTCCCGGACTCAGGTAAACTTAGTCCCCCTCACCATGCTGGCCACCATTCCCGACTCCAGGTAAACTTAGTCCCCCTCACCATGCTGGCCACCATTCCCGGACTCCAGGTAAACTTAGTCCCCCTCACCATGCTGGCCACCATTCCCCTCCAGGTAAACTTAGTCCCCCCTCACCATGCTGGCCACCATTCCTGGACTCCAGGTAAACTTAGTCCCCTCACCATGCTGGCCACCATTCCCGGACTCCAGGACTCCAGGTAAACTTAGTCCCCCCCTCACCATGCTGGCCACCATTCCCGGACTCCAGGTAAACTTAGTCCCCTCACCATGCTGGCCACCATTCCCCAGACTCCAGGTAAACTTAGTCCCCCCATCACCATGCTGGCCACCATTCCCAGACTCCAGGTAAACTTAGTCCCCCTCACCATGCTGGCCACCATTCCCGGACTCCAGGTAAACTTAGTCCCCCTCACCATGCTGGCCACCATTCCCGGACTCCAGGTAAACTTAGTCTCCCCTCACCATGCTGGCCACCATTCCCGGACTCCAGGTAAACTTAGTCTCCCCTCACCATGACTGGCCACCATTCCCCATTCCCGACTCCAGGTAAACTTAGTCCCCCTCACCATGCTGGCCACCATTCCTGGACTCCAGGTAAACTTAGTCTCCCCTCCCATGCTCACCAGGTAAACTTCGTCTCCCCTCACCAGTTATTCCCACTTGGTGTGCATCCCTTCCCATCTCCCTCTCCAGGGCTCTAGTTAGACATATATTGACCATGGTTGTCGTAAGAGGCGAATGTGTGGTCAGACTTGCTGACTTGGTTGACACAAGTCATCATATCCAAACTGCCTAGATTGATGCTCATAGTGTTGATCACTGGATTGTCTGGTCCAGACTTGATTATTTACAGACCGCCGCCATATAGCTGGAATACTGCTGAGTGTGCCATTAAACAACAAACAAACAAACTTATGTTAACACCCAGCACCTCATGGACGTTCCAGATATATGTACCGTACACACTTCCTGGTTAATGTACACAGATACATTGAATGTTTTATTCTAATGACAGAAAATGTAGTGCCTCCAGTCCAACTTATATTTTCTTATTTTGTAAAAATTCATTTATTGTGGTGTTATTATATTTTCCAGACAATATCAGGCCTGCGACTTACAGACAACTTCTTGAAGCGCACCTATGAACATGACGAGATAGCTCAGGTGTTTGTAGTGGACGATGCATCACTCAGATAGATGCTCAGGACCAACTCATCTTATGTACCGTGTGTGAAAACAGCAATGTAAAATTTGCCTCTTGCAAGTTTACGTTTAAAAGATATTGTACATCATTAATTTAAGATATGTTGTCTGGCGTTGTACTGTCTGATTATCCTTAATGTTGCACAGTGTTATACTCCTCAATATTTTATTAGGATCATCAGTGTCTAGGTCGGAACAGAATGTAACTGAATGCTTGGACATGTTGTCCTACTAATAGTATACTGTCATAAAATATCACTATTTTAATTGAACAAATACACATTTCAGTAAGTTGTTTGGCCACAGTGTAAAATGTATCAGTAAATTGATAAAATTGTTGTGGTATATACTGGTTGTAAATATCACGACTAGTAGTATATTTCATCAATGCCTATGAGATAGAGTAAGATATGCACAGAGCAAGATAGACCCACCCACATCAAGGTTGTCAATGGCAAAGTGCAATATTTACATGTTGGGTACTGCAGTCTTTAATAACAGTGCAATCTCAAACTAGCACTGACACAAGAGGGGAGGCATTTCCCTAGCTGGTTCTGTTTCCTAATTCTCTTGTCATATTCATGAAAATGATATTTGTAAATTTGTTACACAAAATACTGTTTTCAAGTAAAGGATACTTCAGTATTTTTTTTCTGCACCAGCAAACTTAAAATGTGTGAGGTGATAATAAAGTGTATTAGATAATGTGTTTGGTAACATTAGGACATTTTTGGTAACTTTTACAATGCCTGTTTATTTCAAAGTACATGGGGCGGTGGGGTAGCCTAGTGGTTAAAGCATTGGCTCGTCTCGCCGAAGACCCGAATCCCCAAATGGGTACCATGTGCTAAGCCCATTTCAGGTGTCTCCCGCCGTGATATTGCTTGAATATTGCTAAAAGCGGCGTTAAGCCATACTCACTCACTCAAAGTACAGGAAGTGAAAGAAAGTCAGAGTTATCTCCCTTCCCCATTTATATTTTATCATCTCAGAAATGTGTTGCAGACTTGGCAGAAACATCCATTTTTAGACTTTTTAATTCTTTCCACATATGCAATATAATGTATATTGTATGTGTAAAATTATAATATTAAGTCACCCTATCCATCTAATTCAAAACAGCCAAGACAACATGCCGACTTTGCACTTTTTCAATTGTATTTCCTGCACTTTCACTGGTATATTTGTCATAATGGTGAGGATGATCCCAGAGGTGGATACAGAAGATGGATGAAGAAGAGATTCAGTTCCTAGAGTTATAACTAGAGTGACTATGTTATGCAATTCAGGTATATATGTTTTATGCTGACTTCGAAATGCAGACAACTGGTTGGCAAGCATGATGAAGCAGGCAGATGTGAAGGATGTATGGTGTATATGAACTGTACATAGGTGTGTATGTAAATATTGTCACCTTCCAAGGCTGCCATGTGAACAGTTGTAAGCTTATGTACAACACATGGTTGAATATAAACAGCAATGTGAAACAGATTTGTCTTGCTTTTATTCTTGTTGGGTATATCATTTTATCCTGTTGGATGGGTGGGGTGTGGTCCCCAAGATGGGAGTAGGTGTGGGTATATAGAGGATATTATATGAGTGCCCATGTCATACTATGTTTACGACACGAGTGCCTAAATGTTGGTATTTCGAGCGAGGTTTAGGCACGAGTGAGTCGTAAACATAGTATGATTTGGGCACGAATATGATATTCTGTTAAGTCGTCAAATTGAGGAAAATAACCCAAATCTACTTTCAAACATAGGCTGTCTACCCGCCGTCTCTGCATATAGAACACAACGTCACAGAAGAAACGTGACGTCATAGCATTGTTCATGACATCACGTCACCATGACAAAGTGATATTTTGCACTAAGGCATCGTATGAAAAATATGAACCTCGATATGTTCGCCCGTGTAGGTAATAAAAGAGGTTATTACATGACAGTTTTCCTTTCACCAGTCACATCAGCCTGAGGGCCGAAGGCTGATGTGGTAGTCAGGGCTGACTGGCAAAAGGGACACTGTCATTTCATAATCTTTTTAGCATATATCACATCAAGGGACGTAACTCTAAAATAAACTAGTTTTTGAGCGTTTGCATGTATTCATTCCTTACCAGTTTAGTAGCCGGGCAATACAGCTGATATGGATTTTGGGCCTTATGGCTGACAGTCAATATGGACATATGACGACAGCCAGTATTGTACATGTGCAAAATGGTCCATATTATTGATAGGTATATGATAAATAGTGATAAACAATGACATTTTCCATCACCATTCATTCCCCATCTAACAATTCAAGTTTACAAGATAAGCCTGTAGATTAATTACATGACAGAGCAACTGCCTCCATGTGGTAGTAGATGAGCAACACTACCCTGACAGAGGAAGGTCAGTGGTTTCATCCCCAAATGTATCATACCAAAACAACTCATTGTTACCATACCTGGTTCTCAGCACTAAGGGGGTGGAGGGGTAGCCAAGTGGTTAAAGCCTCCTCTCAAGCCCAAGACCCAGTTTGATTCCCCAATGGCCACAATGTGTGAAGCCCATTTCTGGTGTCTCGTGATATTGCTAAAAGGGTGTAAAACCAAACTCACTCACTCACTCAGCACTAAGGGGATGAAAGGTCTGGTTGGTTTACAGGTTTCTGAGTGGATATTGTATGTTAAATCGCCACATCTCAGTGTGTTTGAGCTCTAAAATGGGCTTCAATTAAGATAGTACAAGCAGAGACCAATACATCCATGCACATGGCTACATCAGAGCAATCATCCTGAACCAGATATTAGACCTCATTTCACCTCACCTTATTAATGAAGACTGTGGGACACCAATAAGGGTGCTTTCATGTTTGAGGGTTTAGTTGAGTTATCACAATTCAGGGCTTGAAATGTAATATATTTTAGTGTGGCTTTTAATATGCTTACTTTACACTGACATAAATTTTGTATTCCTCAAAATGCGTTCTTCCATCTTCAAGCGACAGTGGGGTAGCCTACTGGTTAATGAATTCTCTGGTCACGTCGGGTTCGATTCCCCACATGGCTACAATGTGTGAAGCCCATTCCTGGTGCCCCGTGTCGTGATATTGCTGGAATATTGCTGAAAGCGGCGTATAACCTTACTCACTCACTCCATCTTCGAGAGCGGAAAGTCGGTGGTTTGATCTCCTGGCCGCATCCTACCTAAAGTGTACTTGTTACCCTATTCAGCAAGGACTGATAGGCTTAGAGTCACTACAATTAAGGATGTCAAACCTCGGGCTGGGCATATTTATAAATGAACTAACACTGCAAATAGGCATAAATCGAGACAAAAAATATGCAGACATACTGGAGCGCATGCATCACGCATTCACGTCTCTCTGTAAGTGAAATAATCTTGAACGCCACGTAAATCCCATTTCATCCCCCCACCCCCACCTTACCTTCACCTTCGTCAAACTGACCTTACAGGTCAAGCGTAGCCTACCTTATCCAAATATCGTCACACCCATCTCCAGCATACCTCCACGATAAGGTGAGCTTCTCTCTGCAACACTATCCCATTAGCTATATATCAAGACTGTCATTTAATCTCTGCAGAACAAAACTTCGCTTTTTCCAATAAGTCAGTAGAACACTTTTAGTAAACAGGTGGTTTTCCTATAGAGAGATGGTAGTATTTACACACATGAGGTGGCCTAGCCGACTCGGGCAATACGTCCACTTGTGTGTACACAAGACCGTGACAAATCTCTGTATACAGATTGTGGAATGTAGGAATCTTCTGTCCATGCATTCCTGAAACCACTGAAATACAACAATTATTAAATTTAGGAAAATAATACACATGAACGAGTATCTTTTATTTGTTAACATCTTCAGTATCGGTTCCAGTTTCTTCGGTGTAGGATACGAATACCACAGTTTGGCTGATGGCGACATCATAATCTGAGACCAAGCAGCGATACCATATACATTCTCTGTGACGATCAACGATATTTAAACCATTATATACCGTTGTCACTGTTGTTGAAGATGATTCCGAACCAGGATGTCACCGACGTGTCTATATAGGTCATATTGCAAATTTATAGAAATTTATACATCAACCATCAAGAGCTTGATTCCGGATATAAATTCCTCGGAATGGGGTGTCTTCTCGATTATACACAGGAAACATCGTATATATATGGTGTATGTTTAACATATATCATGGTTGTTGTATATATCTACTCTTCCTGGCAGGAAGACCTACGTCTCGTGTCAGTTTGCCATGGTGTAAGTTAACTGTCTCGCATGTGTGTCGGAAGCAGATCTATGTCCAACACGGGGCTAGATACCAGGACACGCCTATTCCTGTCTTTATCTCGCAAGTTTGCTCATAATTGTTCAGTGTTCGACGTGGCCTGAAATCCAAACTCCTCGCTTCGCTAGTTTTCGTCTCTTTTCTGTTTTCACAAGGTAAATATAGCATTTACTCCACACTTGGCCTCCACAGCTATGCAGGTTTGTTGCCTCCGTAACATATTTAATGGTACATCCAGGTTGCGAGTAATCTTGTAAACGGGTACACATTGAAGATATTTATATTATTATGTTTAAGATGAAATGTTCATTCATATACACACGTATCAAACTTTCCTCAACCATGCTTTCATTTCAGTGTCTGATTTAATATCATCTAGTCGATTTGTCGTAGAGTGATGTATTGCAACATGATATATAAGTGGGATCAAAACAGATATATTAAAAATAATAATTTTGTTTATGCCTACTCATCATTAATCGCGTATTAGATAAATGTTATATCAAAATTGTTGTAGTTCTATCATGAATGTAACTTTCCAGACATGAGAGAAAACCTTGTTTGCGTCACTTAACACTGTTTCAACTTTGTAGCTGCGATCTTTAAATAATCAATCCTGAAAAAGACAATCCGTTGTTGACACCTTGAATCAACTAAGTCAGCGAGACTGACCACCCAGTCCCATTGGTCGCCTCTTACAACAAGTTTAGGTATTAGACTAGAGGACTATATTCTTGACCGAAATCCGCGACTGAAAACCTTGTCACGCATGTTGTGCCCTTGGATACTTCTTTATGGGGGTGAGTGATAGCAGTCTCCATTTCTAGCATATTTATGCGTATCCGAGATATAAATTATGTTCTTTATACCGGGGAAGTCGAGGCGTTGAATGTTCGACTGTTTAATACCATCCTACCACCCTGATATGTGTTATTATGTATACTAACTCCCATATTATGCAATAACATTTTTATCATATACCGTAACATAAAATTGTAAAATGTTACAAAACAAAAGTGGAAGCAAAACATTTTTACCTTTGTTGAAAGACATTGTCGCTGGAAAACTGGCCGACCAGACGAGCAGACGACACACTAAGGGACGTAACTCCAATTTCTTGACCAGACAAGTGATCACCCATTCTTCATGCATAGTTAAACAATATCAGCGGGACCGCCGACGGGGTGATACGAGTCTTGTTATTACATCCCCTGTCATATGATGGCGCTTCTGCACATGCAAATGGCCTCACATCAGTGAGGTGTATATGAAAATAATGGGGCCTATACTATTTAATGACGTAAAAGGAATACTGTCATTTGTCATTGCTGTCAGAAAATACCAAAGACAAGCCAGAGGTTGATTGATAAATTGTGGACATAAAATCATCCTCCATCATAATCGTGTAAAGAGTACATAAAGTCCACATAGCTAAAGCGCTAATAGTGTTGATAGTAAGGTCGCCCTGTTTGGATACATTTGTTTGTCAAACTATGAAGATCCGGCTTAGACTTTATCTTCAGCAACACATGATTGTCCAAAGTGAGTGAGTGAGTTACATTTTGCGCCGCTGTTAGCAATATTCCAGCAATATCACGGCTGGGGACACCAGAAATGGGCTTCACACACTGTGGCCATGTGGGGAATCGAACCCGGTCTTCGAACCCCTTAACCACTGGGCTACCCCACCGCCCCTGATTGTCTTAAGAGGCAACGGGGTCGGTTGGTCAGGCTCGCTGTGGTGATTGGTGCACATCATCGTATCACTGTTACGTAGATCGATGTTCATGATGTCAATCACTGGTTTGTGTGTCCATTAGCTACAGATACACCTGGAAATTACGAGTGCAGCATTAAACAACAATCAAGTTGTAACCTTAACCGACGTAATAAAATTATTGTATGAATGATTGAATATTTGCACGTCCCCCTTCAGTTGCCGACTCCTAACACTTCAGTCAGTCTCAAGATGGCCAACCGGAAGTTCTATGGTGCCATGGTCATAACAATCCTAGTGACTGAGCTGCTACTTGCGCCGTTCTTTTACGGCCTGTGGTTGGGTGGCGCTCGAAGACATTTCATCACTAGCGTCGTCTGTGACATCGGATTGTTCTACATGATTAGAAACATTATAGAGTAAGTATATAGCATTCTTGTAACAGCTGGGACGCCAACCTTGGACGTAACACAGAAGTTTTCATCAAATCAACAATGGCTCTTCTCATGCAACAGGAGGTCGAAAATATCTACATCTAAAATGTTCAGGGACTGCGAAGGCAGACTATAGTGATATGTCTGCTTTTTCAGATAATGAAAGAACAGTGGAACTTTATTGAACATCTTTTTAGTACCGTGTCCTTCGTATTTGACTTGTAGTAGTGGGCCTTGTGTAGTTGTCACAACAGAATTAAGATCAAATGCAAGATAATCGAGGACGGGAATCCGCATCCTGGAAGACTTTCTACGTACAAGAGTCACGGCCTGTGTGGTAGATTTCATCTGAATCGTCCGTAATATATAACCGTAAAATTCTCACTTTATCTTCGAAATGTAAACGAACGAAATGGTTTCCCGTTTGCTCAGCCTGGTAGAAATGCATACTAAAGTAACGCTTAGAACACTTCCAAAGTTCATAATAAAAACTGGCAATGATACTAAATAATAATATTATAATGTGAATAATAATAATGATAAGATGCGATGGTAGTGGTAGGAGAGCCATGCCTATTCACGATGATGATGATGATGATGATGATAACAGTATCATCAACTCACTCACTAATTGGGTTCTGTGTTTCAGACGTCTATATCCAGTAAGGCACTGGAAGGAGGGTCTAAGACTGGCCGGCTACCTGACAGCGTTCTACTCATTAAACATGTGCCCCAGTGTGGCAGTCTTCCCGCATGTGTTTACCTGCATCAATGCAGCTTTGCAAACTACTCAGACCTTCGTGAACATTTCTGTGATTGTGCTGGCATTGATATATGTGAAGAAATGAGATCAGTGTACTCTTTAACGCTATAGAGCTTGGCTTGTCAGCACGTACATCTAGTAAATAAAGGCTGTAGTACAGATATGCTGAGGGCTATGTTGTGTGTGTCTGTCCGGATCAGAGCGGCTGCACAGTGGTTAAAGTGTTCGTTCTTCACGCCGTAGTCTCGGGTTTGATTCTCCACATGGGAGCAATGTGTGAAGCCCATAAGCGGCGTAAAATCATACACACTCCCTCGTACGCAGTGTTATCACATGATATAGAGGTGTGGTGAGGTGAAATGGGGTTTAACGTCGCACTTAAGAATACTTCGCTCACATGACGACGTGCATGCGTGTGTATGTGTGGCTGCTTGTATTAGCCCAGACTTAAGCTGGTTTTATAGTGCTAGCTCACTGAGATACCATGACGCAGTGAAGCATGATTCTACCATGACTTCAGTAAACACTGGATTGTGATTGGTTAATTAAAGTCATTCAGAGGTATATAATCACGTTATACAGGTCTCTGTTTTCCGTGCGCAATCATACATGGTTTACGGTAATGCACTATTTTTGTCTGCCCACTAACATGGCGGACACCAAACAACCTACCGATGCATCGATAAATTACGGCGATTTACTGTCGGAAATTACACATATGTCTTTAAAGATGGATTTAGCGATGACGGGCTCGACTCACTACTTGCGTAAATCACAGCAATAGGTGTTTATACATACAAAAGTACTTCGAAAGCATGGAAACAAATATTCAGTCGAACAAGATCAAAACATCGTCTGCTTTCCGAATAAAAGTTCAGCAAAAACAAATATGTTTACGTTGATTCTATGTTACGTCAGAATAGATCCAGCAATAGACTGCTACATAATTTCGGAGCACCTTTAGAATACAGCACCACAACTTCTCGTGAGGACGATCTCTGCCGTAGGTCACGTGTCATTAAGACAAGCAACCAGTTTCACGGTGCATGCATGAATGACGCGCTTTTATATAAATCGGTGATTTTGTGACAGAAAAGTGATGTAGGGAACACTGTAAGGATAATGTGGATCGCACTAAGGAACGAGGGAGACATGAGCATGTGTAGTGACGGCACGAGGGTGAGTTAGCCTTCGAATCATTACTTTACAAAATTTATGTTGCGTGTGAAAGAGGCTTGAGTGCAAATTCCAGACCAATTTCCATTAGCCCAAAATGTCTACATTAACCCATTTCATAATGTACTTTCGACGTTTTTGGTTTCCCGTTTTTGTGTGAAATAAAAGTATTAAAATGCAAAAAGGAAAAACAACAAATGGTACTCACGTATTACACCGGTCATGTACCTGCTATATTGGATTAGGTCCCCTAACCCTAACCCTAACCCTAACCCTAAACCCTAAACCCTCAGCCCTAACCCTAACCCTAACCACTTGAAATAATCCTAATAAATAGAATGCATTGACCGAACCACCGGACATGTACCTACTATATATTGCATTAGGTCCCCAACCCCAACCCTAACCCTAAACCCTAAACCTAACCCTAGTCCTAGTCCTAGCCCTAGCCCTAGCCCTAACCCCAATCCCTTGAATTAATCCTAATAAATAGAATGCATTGACCGAACCGGCGCAAACACGACTGACGTGTCTAGTGTAATGCATTATTACCGCTTCGAAAAATAAAATACTAATAAAACACTTTTCTATGTAATGGTGCAAATTACTGAATGACAAATATATATATGTAAATTTAAAAAATTAAAAAATACAAAATACACAAAACATAACACCTCAGCAGCCCGTAATACAAATAAATATGAGCGTATTAGTGAAAAAAGAAAAATATTTCAAACTGGTGCTTGCAAAATATTGCGCATCCGCCGGTATACAACTACTGGAAACTCTCAACATCGTTGGGCTTATGCAATGACATAGCTCGTAGAGATGAAACACCAGTGAGCGGAGCTTATACGCCCTCGCTGAGCCAGACAACCGTGTTGCCATGCAGGCGTCATAAGGCATTGTTTCGAGAACGTGCTTTCGAACAAAATCACATTACATTACGTAAAAGGGTATTATGACGTATTTTTAAAGTTTGTGGTGCTGTATTCTAAAGGTAGGCCGGATGTACTAACATCGAACGCCGAAGAAATTTTAATGCCTTCCGTCCACATAAATAAACAGTTGGGTTATCAATTCAAACAAAATGATATTTTGAAATTTGTACTGTTTCAAATTCAGCGGTAGTAAAACACAATTACTGAATCTGCAAACCGTTCTGTTTAGCCCAACATATATTTTTTCTAACAGTGTAATATCGTTGAAAAAGTTATTTGGCTTAGTCATGATCCCTCTTATCCGTTACACTGCTTGATCTAAAGTAGTCTATAAAAGTATAATTAATTACCTTACCGTGTTTATGCCAGAGGTACACCCTCATGTCCTGGTCCATCCTTTCGGAAATATCACCACAAATCTGGCTCTTTGTCAACAGACTCGCGAACATGCCAGCGAATCCGATTCAATTTGAATTCACTACACTTTGAAGCCACTAGGTCACAAAACACTTTCCAAAATGTAGAAAATAATATCCGTAGAATCGAATTTGAGCACAAAGTACACACATGAGTGTGTAAGTCACCACAGCTGTCGCACGCAGACGTAGAGGTGAGTGAAATCGTCAAGTTGACAGGGCGCAATATTCAACAGCATCTAATTCGGTACAACCCGGACTTCTCGTTACAGCAAAAGCGCCTCTACTCTTAAATTTTGTACCAGTACCAGTAATTAGATATCAAAGACTATCTCAGTCATACAATCAGGTTAACCTTGCTCAAACTGTCAGTGGCTCTCCTGTCGCATCTTTCCAAATGTAAACAATGACTTCGAGAAAAGGTCAAGGCCATGAGGTTGCTGCCACTATTCTGGTGGGGAAAGGGTCTACGGTGGAATTTTCAAATGTGAACCAAGCTTTTGAAACTTATTTGATATATGTTTTCCAACTTATCAGTTAATGATTGGTGATTGATGCATTGAAAACACAAAACGTGATTTGTTATTACTGAATCTGGAGTTTATTAGTCATTGACGGTTTGCCACCAAACACCCCGTTTCGGGCGATACCACTTGAGATTGGAATGCGAGGCCGCTTCACGTATTGACTCGTCACCAAAGAAAGAGCTCCACCTGAAATTGTTCATAAAATTGTCATGGTAGAATGGAGATAAACCTACTGTGTTGGAAAATCAGGGTATATAACGAAATTATAATAGCTCTAAATTGTTCATTTAAAACCTCACGCTACGCGTTCGGTTTTAAATGAAATTTAGAGCTATTATAATTTCGTTATATACCTCTGATTTTCCCACACAGCAGGTTTATCTCCTAATTCTCTACCATGACTTCAGTAAACACTGGATTGTGATTGGTTAATTAAAGTCATTCAGAGGTATATAATCACGTTATACAGGTCTCTGTTTTCCGTGCGCAATCATACATGGTTTACGGTAATGCACTATTTTTGTCTGCCCACTAACATGGCGGACACCAAACAACCTACCGATGCATCGATAAATTACGGCGATTTTACTGTCGGAAATTACACATATGTCTTTAAAGATGGATTTAGCGATGACGGGCACGACTCACTACTTGCGTAAATCACAGCAATAGGTGTTTATACATACAAAAGTACTTCGAAAGCATGGAAACAAATATTCAGTCGAACAAGATCAAAACATCGTCTGCTTTCCGAATAAAAATTCAGCAAAAACAAATATGTTTACGTTGATTCTATGTTATGTCAGAATAGATCCAGCAATAGACTGCTACAAAATTTCCGTGTTAAATTTATTATCAGCTTTCGTCAACGATATCGCCACTGATCTTGATCCGGTAACGGAGGATGCATTAACATCGAACGCCGAAGAAATTTTAATTCTAATGCCTTCCGTCCACATAAATAAACAGTTGGGTTATCAATTCAAACAAAATGATATTTTGAAATTTGTACTGTTTCAAATTTAGCGGTAGTAAAACACAATTAGATCTACAGAATCTGCAAACCGTTCTGTTTAGCCCAACATATTTTTTCTAAATGTATAATATCGTTGAAAAAGTTATTTAGCTTAGTCATGATCCCTCTTATCCATTACACTGCTTGATCTAAAGTAGTCTATTAAAGTATAATTAATTACCTTACCGTGTTTATGCCAGAGGTACACCCTCGTGTCCTGATCCATCCTTTCGAAATATCACCACAAATCTGGCTCTTTGTCAACAGACTCGCGAACATGCCAGCGAATCCGATTCAATTTGAATTCACTACACTTTGAAGCCACTAGGTCACAAAACACTTTCCAAAATGTAGAAAATAATATCCGTAGAATCGAATTTGAGCACAAAGTACACACATGAGTGTAAGAGTCACAACAGCTGTCGCACGCAGACGTAGAGGTGCGTGAAATCGTCAAGTTGACAGGGCGCAAAATTCAACAGTATCTAAATTCGGTACAACACGGACTTCTCGTTACAGCAAAAAGCGCCCCTACTCTTAAATTTTGTACCAGTACCAGTAATTAGATATCAAAGACTATCTCGGTCATACAATCAGGTTAACCTTTGCGCAAACTGTCAGTGGCTCTCCTGTCGCATCTTTCCAAATGTAAACAATGACTTCGAGAAAAGGTCAAGGCCATGAGGTTGCTGCCACTATTCTGGTGGGGAAAGGGTCTACGGTGGAATTTTCAAATGTGAACCAAGCTTTTTCGGTAAACTTATTTGATATATGTTTTCCAACTTATCAGTTAATGATTGGTGATTGATGCATTGAAAAAAAAAACGTGATTTGTTATTACTGAATCTGGAGTTTGTTAGTCATTGACGGTTTGCCACCAAACACCCTGTTTCGGGCGATACCACTTGAGATTGGAATGCGAGGCCGCTTCACGTATTGACTCGTAACCAAAGAAAGAGCTCCACCTGAAATTGTTCATAAAATTGTCATGGTAGAATGGAGATAAACCTATTGTGTTGGAAAATCAGAGGTATATAACGAAATTATAATAGCTTCTAATTTAAAATCATTTAAACCCTCACGCTACGCGTTCGGTTTTAAATGAAATTTAGAGCTATTATAATTTCGTTATATACCTCTGATTTTCCCACACAGTAGGTTTATCTCCTAATTCTACCATGACTTCAGTAAACACTGGATTGTGATTGGTTAATTAAAGTCATTCAGAGGTATATAATCACGTTATACAGGTCTCTGTTTTCCGTGCGCAATCATACATGGTTTACGGTAATGCACTATTTTTGTCTGCCCACTAGATATCTAACATGGCGGACACCAAACAACCTACCGATGCATCGATAAATTACGGCGATTTACTGTCGGAAATTACACATATGTCTTTAAAGATGGATTTAGCGATGACGGGCTCGACTCACTACTTGCGTAAATCACAGCAATAGGTGTTTATACATACAAAAGTACTTCGAAAGCATGGAAACAAATATTCAGTCGAACAAGATCAAAACATCGTCTGCTTTCCGAATAAAAGTTCAGCAAAAACAAATATGTTTACGTTGATTCTATGTTACGTCAGAATAGATCCAGCAATAGACTGCTACATAATTTCGGAGCACCTTTTAGAATACAGCACCACAACTTCTCGTGAGGACGATCTCTGCCGTAGGTCACGTGTCATTAAGACAAGCAACCAGTTTCACGGTGCATGCATGAATGACGCGCTTTTTATATAAATCGGTGATTTTGTGACAGAAAAGTGATGTAGGAACACTGTAAGGATAATGTGGATCGCACTAAGGAACGAGGGAGACATGAGCATGTGTAGTGACGGCACGAGGGTGAGTTAGCCTTCGAATCATTACTTTACAAAAATTCTATGTTGCGCAGTGAAAGAGGCTTGAGTGCAAATTCCAGACCAATTTCCATTAGCCCAAAATGTCTACATTAACCCATTTCATAATGTACTTTCGACGTTTTTGGTTTCCCGTTTTTGTGTGAAATAAAAGTATTAAAATGCAAAAAGGAAAAACAACAAATGGTACTCACGTATTACACCGGTCATGTACCTGCTATATTGGATTAGGTCCCTAACCCTAACCCTAACCCTAACCCTAACCCTAAACCCTAAACCCTCAGCCCTAACCCTAACCCTAACCACTTGAAATAATCCTAATAAATAGAATGCATTGACCGAACCACCGGACATGTACCTACTATATATTGCATTAGGTCCCCAAAACCCCAACCCTAACCCTAAAACCCTAAAAGCCTAACCCTAGTCCTAGTCCTAGCCCTAGCCCTAGCCCTAACCCCAATCCCTTGAATTAATCCTAATAAATAGAATGCATTGACTCCGAACCGGCGCAAACACGACTGACGTGTCTAGTGTAATGCATTATTACCGCTTTCGAAAAAATAAAAATACTAATAAAAACACTTTTTACTATGTAATGGTGCAAATTACTGAATGACAAATATATATATGTAAATTTAAAAAATTAAAAAATACAAAATACACAAAACATAACACCTCAGCAGCCCGTAATACAAATAAATATGAGCGTATTAGTGAAAAAGCAAAATATTTCAAACTGGTGCTTGCAAAATATTGCGCATCCGCCGGTATACAACTACTGGAAACTCTCAACATCGTTGGGCTTATGCAATGACATAGCTCGTAGAGATGAAACACCAGTGAGCGGAGCTTATACGCCCTCGCTGAGCCAGACAACCGTGTTGCCAGCCATGCAGGCGTCATAAGGCATTGTTTCGAGAACGTGCTTTCGAACAAAATCACATTACATTACGTAAAAGGGTATTATGACGCATTTTAAAGTTTGTGGTGCTGTATTCTAAAGGTAGGCCGGATGTATTAACATCGAACGCCGAAGAAATTTTAATGCCTTCCGTCCACATAAATAAACAGTTGGGTTATCAATTCAAACAAAATGATATTTTGAAATTTGTACTGTTTCAAATTCAGCGGTAGTAAAACACAATTACTGAATCTGCAAACCGTTCTGTTTAGCCCAACATATATTTTTCTAACAGTGTAATATCGTTGAAAAGTTATTTGGCTTAGTCATGATCCCTCTTATCCGTTACACTGCTTGATCTAAAGTAGTCTATAAAAGTATAATTAATTACCTTACCGTGTTTATGCCAGAGGTACACCCTCATGTCCTGGTCCATCCTTTCGGAAATATCACCACAAATCTGGCTCTTTGTCAACAGACTCGCGAACATGCCAGCGAATCCGATTCAATTTGAATTCACTACACTTTGAAGCCACTAGGTCACAAAACACTTTCCAAAATGTAGAAAATAATATCCGTAGAATCGAATTTGAGCACAAAGTACACACATGAGTGTGTAAGTCACCACAGCTGTCGCACGCAGACGTAGAGGTGCGTGAAATCGTCAAGTTGACAGGGCGCAATATTCAACAGCATCTAATTCGGTACAACCCGGACTTCTCGTTACAGCAAAAGCGCCTCTACTCTTAAATTTTGTACCAGTACCAGTAATTAGATATCAAAGACTATCTCAGTCATACAATCAGGTTAACCTTGCTCAAACTGTCAGTGGCTCTCCTGTCGCATCTTTCCAAATGTAAACAATGACTTCGAGAAAAGGTCAAGGCCATGAGGTTGCTGCCACTATTCTGGTGGGGAAAGGGTCTACGGTGGAATTTTCAAATGTGAACCAAGCTTTTGAAACTTATTTGATATATGTTTTCCAACTTATCAGTTAATGATTGGTGATTGATGCATTGAAAAAAACAAAACGTGATTTGTTATTACTGAATCTGGAGTTTGTTAGTCATTGACGGTTTGCCACCAAACACCCCGTTTCGGGCGATACCACTTGAGATTGGAATGCGAGGCCGCTTCACGTATTGACTCGTAACCAAAGAAAGAGCTCCACCTGAAATTGTTCATAAAATTGTCATGGTAGAATGGAGATAAACCTACTGTTTAAAACCCTCACGAAAATCAGAGGTATATAACGAAATTATAATAGCTCTAAATTGTTCATTTAAAACCTCACGCTACGCGTTCGGTTTTAAATGAAATTTAGAGCTATTATAATTTCGTTATATACCTCTGATTTTCCCACACAGTAGGTTTATCTCCTAAATACCCCACTCAGACACATTATACTGACTCCGAGCCGACCAGTCCGTGTTGTACCTATTAATGCTGAGCGCCAGGCGGGGACGAATAAGTACCATAGTTTAACGTCTTTTGGTATGACGCGGCCGGGGATCGAACCCGCGACCTTCCACTCCATGATGTAGAGATATATTGGACCTGTATCCGTAACACTATGGTTTAAGAACAACACGCATGTAAACATTTATCATATAACGGTTAGGTTTCGCGACATGAAAGGATTACAGGATATTCGGTATTCATTAGGATCAGCTTCAATGTTTTAAATGATGCATGTATGTATGTATAACGATTGACAGGTGAAAGATTTAAAGTAGTTGCCGCTGTACGCTGAATTCCGCCAGTTCCCAGCACGTCAACAGCTCGCGTTCACACACAAACATTGAATGAAGCTTTTTAAGCCAAATAAATCATGATTAGAATCAAGGAGACAAACAGAAATAACATTTTACAGAAACTAATCGTCTTTGAAAGTGTCAAATCACAAATACACGTGAGAGGTGCTACTGTGTGCGGTACGTGCAAAATATACTCATGCCAATAATGGTTGTCAGCCCCCCCCCCATTTTAAAAAGTTGAATATACAAATTTAGTATGTGCTTCGGGGCAAATTATAAGTTTTGCAGACATAGCTTGTGTGGCCCATTGGCGATGTTTGTTGTCGACACCATCTTTGTTCTTGGTATATACATTTATAGTTCATGATCCCCTACTTCTGTTACTAGTATATTTCCGGTACTGAGTTATCCTTGATTAACAATGAAGGACTCCCAGAATGGTTCCCAGAAGTGTGGTAACATCGGCAGATTCAACCGACTCATTTTTTTATTAATGTTAAACGAACGTACTAATTTAATCACGAATATATCCATTTACACGAACATAGCTAACTGCTTCTTAGTGTATCATTCACCTGATGAAGGAGTAAGAGTCTACTCCGAAACGTCGTGTTTCTCATAATAAAAAAATCACATCCATAATTTTAACCGTTTATGTGTATCAATTTCGGAATGCCGCTCAAAGACTTCACATGAATATCATTAACTAGGCACTGACAGTAAATATAGGTTCTGATATGCCTCAGGGCAATTTCTTTCAGCGCGTTCATATTTCGCGGTAAGGAGAGTGCTTCATGCTTGCGAAATATTTACAAACAAACCATCGTGGCGGGAACGGCCTTCACCTTGACCCGATGAGCTGAGAGGTCTTTGTTGAAAGCGCGTCCCTCTGCGAAGACTTATCATTATCGACAGGTTAGTCTGCTTGATTTTTGACGTTTCACGAATTCACGTGGATATTTATGTCGATAAATTGTGTTTACCACATACTTCTTTAAGCTAACACCATAATTTGATCTGTCAGTGAATTTGTGAGCTCGATTAATGGTTAATGTTTAAATAGTTCGCCGATGAGCGATTGTCGTTTGACAGGAAGGGTTGGTCAGTTTTGTTTACATTAGGATTTTGCGATTGAACTTTGGACATATATGCTGTACAGTTCTCCTCGCATGATATCTCAAACATGCACCGTCTGTCCGACCTTAGACATTGTTCTGCAAGTACAATATATCGATACATCACATACTTACATATATATGAACTATGACAAGAGACCAGATATCTATTATATGGTCTCTGCTATGAGTCATTGCAGTCAAATTATTTTCAGTCTCAATGCGTTGACTCTAGTTTCTTTGTTAGGGGTTAACAGACGCTGCTTGCAAATAAACTGTACCTCAGTCTGCACGGTCGAACAGTTCTGCTGACTTGGTAGTTTGTCTATCGACACGGAACAGGTGGGCTCACAAACACTTGCATTATGTTACCGGTTGATGCTTTGTGTCACGCTAAGGAATGCACTGTGAAGGTTGGGTTCTTGTAAGGCGACAAATGAGGTAAGGGAAGCTCAGAACGCTTTTATATGTAAGGAAATGAACAGATGTAAAATAGATGTCTTTCTTATTTATCAAACATCATGTCGGTTAGATCAAGCACAGCGGATGCATGTTTATATTTAAACCAAAAGGGGTGATGGAAGATGTATGCCAAATGGTTAATGTATAGGAACATATCACAGTTAATTATGTTATTGATGAATAATGTTTACTGATTGTCTGATACATGCATGTATGTGTACGTACGTACGTCTGCATATGTATGTCTGTATGCACGTCTGTACGTATGTATGTAGGTAAGTAGGATTTGGGTAGGTATGCATGGCTGTATATATATGTACTGTAGGTAAGTGATTATTGATAGACTGTATGTATGCATACATGGATGGATGGATGTGTTGCTGTATGTATGTAGTACTAGTTAGGCAATAAGAGATGGATAGGGTTATGGAGGACTGTAACGTCCAGTATTACGTAGTTATATCAGAGGGTTCAAATAAAACCGATGAAGTGATCAGTTTCTTCAGCCGAGTTTTTGGTTGACCTTTTCATGATTTTGTTCATCTGGCCCATAGAGTGGTCCTTAAAAATGGAAAATGTTGCAGGTACATTTAGACCGAACAGTATAAGGAGAGAAGTAACGTTAAGTAGGTAGCGTGCATTTTGTTTCCTACAGGTCATGGGCGGATCCAGGAATTTTGAAAAGGGGGGGTTCAGGGTTCGAACCCCCTGAAACCCCATTTGGCTCCGCCAACGCAAAAAAATCTTCAATGTGGTCTTAAGTCATTTTCAGGTGGGGGTGATTCGAACCCTGAAACACCCCACCCCCCACCCTCTGGATCCGCCAATGCAGGTCATCCTTCACATTCCTCGAATCCCCATAAAATCGAATAATAAAGGTGCATTCTAAAAAGCTGTTCAGATAAGATAGAGGCACCATGCACACGTGCCATTGTATTTTTATATATGCCGTAACTATATTTGCTTCAGTACTTCTTCGTTTGGAGCCCGAAAAACAAACGCTAAACATTGCCATCCATTCAGGTTACTCTCGTTTCCCTTCCTCAAAGACCCGTGAGAGTAAAATAGATTTCACTGTATTTCTATGTCATATAAATAGACATTACAGTCAGCATGCTCACATTTCGTGGCTGTAACGCTTAAACGGATATTTATAGACCAGTTAAGTACTCTTATCGTAATGCTATGAACCTATTAAACAAACATTTTGTTTTTGCAGGTAACATCGATAAACACTCCTTCACTTCAATCTCTTTTCAATCGTTGCCATGGAAATCAAGGTCAGCTTCAGCGTCTCCATGGTGATCGCAGTGGTATTGGCAGAAGCCATGAGCTTCCTGTGGTACAACAGCAACTCCCCCTGGGGGCGGAGGGTTGGTGACCGATATCTGATTACCGCCCTTGTTTCTGATGTTGGGCTGGTGGTTCTTCTGAAGTTCCTCATGGAGTGAGTATCTATCAGCAATATGATTTCTAACGGCAATTTCAACATTTATTAATGTATGATACAGTCCAAAACCCAATCCGACTCCGGATGCTTAAACATGGCATGGTTATCGTTAGTCAGGTCTAGAATATTTTCAGGCAGTGTGGATAAAGCAAGAAAAGTACTTTGCTCATGCATAATTCAGAATGACGAACATATACATCTCAATGAATTTTATTACAGGAATTACTGGAGCATCGGAAGATGGGAAGACGCCGCCATATTGTCCTGCTTCTTGACCTTGGTGTACATGACCTTGGAAGCTCCACACATCGTTCACAACAGCAATAGTTTCACTCACTGTTTTGCCCATTCGGTTCACAAGTTTTGTGTCATGTTCGTCATGTTGTTAGCCCTCGTTTACTTCAGGCACTACTAAACCTGACTGAGGCACAAGTGGTCCAGGCGTCTAAGGTGCAGCAGTTCGCTGTGTAGAGTTATGTCCCTTTGGCGGATCCAGCAGGTTCATATCACAGGTTTTCCGATTCTAAGACTATGTTTCTAGGTTTGTCAGCACCATACTGTGCTCGTGGGTTCTTCTAGAGTGGTACATCACTGTGGACGCCTCGTAGTTCACTGCCAAATGCATTCAATCACAAGGCCTGGTACAAGTAGAGGCTTCTAGTAGGCTGAGAGAAGGTTGAAAACTGTTTTCTTCCTCTAAAAAGACAGTTGGCCTGGAAAAACGAGAAGGGTATCTTTGACTATGTCTGTAAGACTGTAACAGTCTTCCAAGACGATGCTGATCAAAGGACCAACGATAGTGCCCTATATGAAATCCCACCCTCACTGAATACATAATTTTGGTGCTATAGAACTTCCTGCGGGTCATTGTATATGATATATATATATGCAATTACTCACCAAGTAGAAGCTAAACTGCGCATCATTGTATTGCAATATTTAGAGCAATGATTTTCGAAAAAGATATATGGAAATACCTACCCAGTAGAAGCTAAACCAGAAGATGTAATTATCTTCGCCGGTCAACTTGCGCTATACAATCAAGTAGTTAACTCTTTCCTTTTCGAGTGCTGATGTCATTAGTCTGTGACAAGTTACTGTCGTAGTTTTTAGTTCCCGTTGTATTTCATTACTATCTTAGTGGTCTAAAGGCTCAATATAATTCATTCAGTTAAAAACATCTCTGCCGTATCTCTGCCACCCAGAGATGTGACTGTATTCATTGGCACAGAGCGTGGGAGGTATTCCTTAATCATATCTTCACTATGAAACATCAATTAAATGATTTTAAACTGTTTTGTACTGTTGAACTGGCATCACGTAACACGTGGCTACGATGTCCTAAAGTTCATAGTAGTGGTTACCGTATTCCTTCATCTAACTTGCACGAGACTCTTAAGGCAAATAGTTGTAGGTTTAAATCTTCATGTATAAATTATAGATTAGTAGTGACTCGTGAGAACAAATTATCACTACAAAAGACGGGCGTAATTAGAGATTTGTGAAATCCAGAACCATGTCGAAACTGACATCAACATGTGTGACTACTGCCTTATGTGTCAATTATCTAGACTTGCCCATGGGAGGTATAATCTAAGAATGACTAAATACGTATACTAGTATATCATTGAATGTTCATGAAATTGTTAATCGACTGTGACTTTGGTCTTTCTTCCAACAGCATGTTTAATCGGATCGACCATGTAGTGTTCTTCGTATCTACTGCAATGGAAAACAAGCAGAAAAATATCAACAAGACTTTAACTATTCAATTATAATCGATCATGCCCATAGCTCTCACTGCTTGTTGTATTGTGATAACCTGACATACCTCCTGCATTTAGAGAACCTAATTGATGTTTTAAAACATTATTTAACGTTTTGATCATTTATAGTTGTTACATGTTGTTACGTATACAAGTAATATGTAAACATGTGTTATGCTAAACGTCTTCTGAATAAAGAGTCTACATTTTCGATGATATATTTATGAATAATTTATATATGGGTATTTACAAGAGTTATTGAGACAATGTTCTTGCAAAGTGATCTTCGCGAAGACAGGTGTATCCGAGTGAAAGATCCGTCTCTAATGAGACATCTGTAACTCCCATCTTTTGATCACGTGGGGATGCCATGAGTTGGTACGTTCTAGGTATGAGATCAACACACCTGTTCGATCCTTCCTTTATGTGGTACAGCTGGCTGGTTCCAACTATACATACAGACAGCGACGCCTATACATACAGACAGCGTTCGAAAAAACGTCTGTCCTTAGGCCCGAAGCCGACTGAAAATCACTCGGACACATGTTATGGTATCCCAATTGCGTAGATCGATGCTCATACTGTTGATCACTGGATTTTCTGGTCCAGACTCGATCATCTACAAACCGCTGCCATATAGCTGGAATATTGCTGAGTGCGGCGCAAAACTAAACTCACTCTGCATTCTAAATGGTTGTGAAAGTGAAAACAAGTCTATCATAACGCACGTTTAGGGGCGCTTCAATCGGAATCGGATTTCGCACAGGACAAGTTGTTCAAAGTACTAGCAGTTCCAGGTAGCTTGACACACATGTTTAAAGGTTGTTCGGGAATACAACAGGAATAGTGTTCCGTAAGAAAACAAGGAAACATAAATCCAGCATCGTATCCCGATTAGTCAGGCTCGGTTATTTGGTTGAGTCGGGTGTCATTGTACTCCCATAGCTCGGATCTTAGCTCACAATACCAGTCACTTGGTTGTCAGGCACCGGGCAAATTCCAGGCCGCAATCATATAGCCGAGTGCGATGTTAAACAATAACGCCGCCATACCATTGACCTACTGGTTATTATATCTTCTGAGTACATTGCATTATTTAGCTGAACATTACAGTAGTAACAGTGATGTTGTCCTCTTGTCAATTATTGCATGTATTATAATAATAATAGCATCTAAATATTGTAATAATACAGAAATTTTGAAATCATTCCCTCATATAGACTTCAGTATTTGCCTGCACAGCATTAGAAGAGGTATAGAATAACCCTGTTGCCTCTGCCAGATTTCTGAAAAGGGTGCAAGTGGGGGAATTCTGTAGCCACCTTGAGGAATGGAAGAACACTGGTGTTAAGAAGAGCGTTATGCTATAATATATAACAAACTAAACTGATTGTGAGCAAGTCTCACTGTCAACCACAAAGACAGCCTCTTATTACAAACTGCTGGTTGACCAGTAACTAGTAACACCCCGAATCGTACCCAACGAACTCTTGCTCAAGCCCTGGGGAATGAATTCAACACGTACGTGTGATTACTTGGGCAACATTTATATGAAGGCGCGACCAAACTGCTCTCAAAAAAACACGGCTGTGCTCCGTCTCTACACCCCAGTACAAGCGCAAATGAAATCGGGAGCCAGTTAACATTAAGCTGGTTCCGGCTCCCTTTGCGCGCACCAGCTTGGGATATTGCGAGACGGGGTCCAGTTTACGAGACTTTGCGTTGTCCTTGGCGACCGTTGTCACTTCGATGTTACATCGACGCCATTTTGATGCTAAATCTGCATCTTGCTATTCTGAAAACGTTATCTTCCTATCCTTCCTCGAAATTCTTGAACCTGCCACCATGAATTCCAGCACTTATGTTCAAGGTATTATTCTAATTACGTTTCAGTATATTCTGTATCTTCACTATGCAGTATCAGGATAACCCTCGGTCATAAGGCAGTGTACAATCGCCAGAATGAACTTTCATGATTCCTGAACTGACCCACGAACACTTTCCAACTTTTAGGGGGCTCACTATGTTTATATATGGCCATTAATGTACCTTAAACTGCAAACATTGCAGCTTAGAACTGAAAATGGGTTCACCTTTCTTATAAACTCTCAAAATGTACATAATCTGGTTCTCAAAACTTTATTCTGTATTGCAAGAATACGAAATTACTATGTATTTCAGCGAGTAGAAATAATAGCTGTAAAATGTAAACTGAAGCTTGGTAACCTATACTCTCTGAGAGGTTCAAGTTATAAAGGAACAGGGAGACATACTTTACAATTTCATTACCCTTTATCCAACATTAAATGGAAAACTTTCGAAAATGACACCCCTTAGCTATAACCCTTTATCTGTCATCCCAATTCATCTGTCATTATCAGACAAATAATATATATCATTTACTACAGTCATCATCTAAAGATAGGACCAGCAATGTACCCTCTCACCCTTGACATTAAAGTACTTTTTATCCGTCTGTTCCCCACCAGTTGATCGGATCATGTGGTTTCTACAGCCTCTCTCCCCCCTGGCTTGTCCTACACTTTGTCCAGTAGGCCCATTTGCAATATTCGCTAGCTTTCATTTCTGGATGTCTTTAGCTTGACATTTTCCTTGTTTCTAACACACAAAAAACCCAGAAGTAATCTCACTTCATACCTTTTCCGTAAAGTCTAGTCTGTTCAGTGAATGAATAACTTATTCCATCTACATATTTTTCTTTCCTCACATTCCATTCTCTCACAAACCTCCCTATCTATAGCGCCCCACTTCAAAGTCCCTGACCATCCCTGCCCACTTGTCACACCTGCCCGTCCCCCAGACCCTTCGCCCCAGCACTGTCCCCTCTGTGTCCCTCACCATTGCTGGTCAGTACATCGTGGACGACACCGACTTTGCTGAAGTCGATCTCGGGGATGAGGAGATCATCCAGCCAACCCACTCCTTCCTGAAGGCCTTGCTATCTAGAGTGGCCAGCTTCTTCAGAAGAATCAAGAGTGTGTTTAAGAAGAAGGATGATTAGGCAGTGAACTATCTAAACAAAACATTTATAAATTGTTTTTAGGACATTTGAGGCATGTGTTACAATATTTAGGAAATACAAAATTTCTACATTTATTTGTTTTCGTGTTTTCCTTATGTTAATAAAATACATTCTTCATTTGAAAATTTTGTTGTGTTGTGATTTGTTTATTTTGTTTCCTACTTTCTGGCATGTTCGCCGTGAATAGCTGCAACATTGCTGATGCAGTGTTAAGCAATATTCACTCACTAACTCTGGCGATGTTCTGGACTAACCAAAGGTGCTCCTACACCTAGTAAGGCATGCAGGTGCACTACGTCAACAGGTGTTTGATCAAGTTCAACAAACCTTACTCTAGAATGCTAGTAGTCTAGTACTATCGTATATCAACCACCCATAGTTAACATGAACATTTATATTCTTCATACAACCATATCGACTTTAGTAGGAGAATATATATGTAAAACTGCCAAATACATGACTGGGCCCACGTGAAACCCACAGGGATTTCTTCATGTCACAGGGATTGGGAAAGGCATGGGCCATTTTGCACATTAGAACAAAAAATGGCCCATTGAAATTTTGAAGTTTACTATTGTTACAAGGGCAGTGGCCCATCCTAAATTCAGAAATGGCTAATAGTCTTTAAAATGGCCCATTGTCAAAGTTCTCTATCACAATCCCTGTGTCATATAAATTGACTTTAAAAGGATTCTTCATCTGGTTCATGTTCTTGTATGTTTTATAACATTTACATTATATACTTTCCTGACATACGACCGCCTCCGTGGTGTAGTGGTTAGAGCGTCCGCCCGGAGAGCGGACGTTTAAATATGGTACTTGTTGGTCCCTGCCTGGCGCTCGGCATTAATGGGTACAACAAGGCCTGGTCGGCTCGGAGTCAGTATTATGTGTCTGAGTGGGGTATTCATGCTTCACTGTGGCATGGTATCTCAGTGGGCTAGCACTATAAAACCAGCTTAAGTCTGGGCTAGTACAAGCAGCCGCACATACACACGCATGCACATCGTCATATGAGCGAAATATTCTCAAGCACGACGTAAAACCCAATTTCACCTCACCTTTCCTGACATACCATTCTGTCTTAACCCTCCCTATCAATAGCCTGCCACTTCAAAGTCCTTGGGCATCCCTGCTCACTTGATATATAAGTGACATAGAAAAACAGCCACATCATAAGATATATACTACCCATAAAAGGTTTAGACTCATTTAAGGCACTCACTTTTTGTTATGTATATATATGTGAACATAGAGATTTTTTCTGGGTTACATCTTCTTTTATTCTGGAGTACTCGAGAATAAAAAGAAGATGTAACCCAGAAAAAATCTCTATGTTCATCAAATATCATCTTCTATCTTCTAAAATGCCAATCAAGCATCTATATATATGTGGTTACATAGAAGATGAATTTCTCCACTAACTTGGGGGAACGAACTGCAAACCTTATGCAGAAGAATTGCATGAGGATCATGCATCAAATTGCTGAAAATTTTTGCTCAGTTTTTGTGTAAAGTGTTGTTAAGAATTCTAGTTTAGATCAGTTAAGTGAACTAAGTGGCTACATTTACACTAGTGAGCCTAAACTTCTGATGGGGAGTATATGTACACAGTGATATGAACAGATATGTTGAGTCAAAATAAGCTGTGGGTAAAATTGAAGATCTAAATACCAGGGTATCACAGAAGATAATACATTGACAAGTACCGGTAAGAGGATTTGACTGTCTATTAAAGACAAACAAGGATCCTCCAATGGCACAAGGGATGGATGCATTCAGTCATCAGAGACAGCAGATGCTTTTTTTGTGCTTTTAATATTTGCATGAATTATTTGGGCCAGACTGGTTTCTCATAGTTCTTTCTGAACAGACTAAGCCTAAACTTTGCAAAAACAATAAAAAAGTGTAATTATAATTAATTAATACTAACATTTTTTTTTAAACAATCTTTTTGTCAAATATTACTTGACCTGTAGCATGTATTTAAAACATAAGTGTTTCAAGTAATCAACCTTGACAATAAATTCATCTATCCATGAAAGTAGATATTATCAAAACTACATTTTGAGACTGTTTGAAAGGACTTTGTTATTCCAAATTTAAGTACCACTCACACAATCACAGATTTCATCCTAAAGGGTCATGTTTAACATTATTATGATTATTATGATTAACAGTGGTTGCTGTCGGCCATAAGGACCTGCAGAAAACAAAAGCTGTGGGTCAGTGGTTTTCAGTCGGCTTTGGGCTTAAGGACCGACGTTAATTTCGAACGCTGATTATGAATGTTTAAATTCTGTATTGACTATGAGTGAGTGAGTTTAGTTTTACGCCGCTTTTAGCAATATTCCAGCAACATCACGGCGGGGGACACCAGAAATGAGCTTCACACATTCTACCCATGTGGGGAATCGAACCCGTGTCTTCAGCGTGACGAGCGAACGCTTTAACCACTAGGCTACCCCACCGCCCCATATTGACTATGAAGTGTGTAGGAGAATCTTTAACCATGCCCGCTGTAACTTTGCATCACTTGAAAATCAACACAATACTATATTTATCAGCGAATAAATCATCTTACATACCACACCAATCTCCTATCAAATCTACCTTGCATCAAATAACTGTAGTGTGTATAACTTTGTCAAAGTTTTTGTGGGATATGTTATCATGTATTTAGATAAATCAATACCAATTCTCTACCATCCTACATAGCATGGCTTTAAACATAAACAGCATTGTTAAAGGAGAAAAACACCAGAAAAGAGTGACAATTCTGAAAAAAGGCGGTGGGATACGCATAGTGATGATAGCATTAAACATTGTCACTCAAGTTTGTGACTCAACTATAATGTGAAGATGTCTAATGACATCATCGTTGCTGGAATACTGCTAAAGACACCACCAAACCTCATATTCACCCTCGTGTGTACAGAATAGTGAGTCTGGTTTACAATGGCTGACAACAGCAGGCACTGACCTCATACCCAGCCTCCAGATGCCTGAGGTTGTTGTCCAGCTGTTGTATGGTTTGTCTGTTGCTCTTCAGCTGATCTGTCTGAAACAACATATACACAGGATATGTGCTGGGTCGCCATCTCAGAATCCTGTACGTCTGACCAGTGTTCCATACCATCTACGTTCTATAAATCTTACACAGAATGGCCTCCATATTAAGAACCATGAATTTGTGGCAATACTCACGTCCTCCCATTCGGACAGGCATCGGGTGGAGGGGAGACATACCATTGCCCTGGCCAAAGATGGGCTCGGGAAGGCATGGACTCGCAGAAACATCTAACTGAAAAGGGTACGGCCTGTTGAACACATTTATAAGAGACACTGGGGATTGCAGACGAGGTACTTCTGGACAAGTGTCCACATACATTGCTATGCTAATGAGATGTAGACATGATAGTGAACCAGGAGGTGAGGTGAGGTGAACTTGGGTTTAACGTCGTGCTTGAGATTATTTCGCTCATATGACGACGTGCATGTATGTGTATGTGCGGTTGCTTGTACTAGCCCAGACTTAAGCTGGTTTTATAGTGCTAGCCCACTGAGATACCATGCCGCAGTGAAGCATGAATACCCAACTCAGACACATTATACTGACTCCGAGCCGACCAGTCCTTGTTGTACCCATTAATGCCGAGCGCCAGGCAGGTAGCAGCAAGTACCATATTTTAACGTCTTTTGGTATGACGCGGTCGGGGATCGAACCCGCGACCTTCCGCTCTCCGGGCGTACGCTCTAACCACTACACCACAGAGGCGGTCCTAGTGAACCTGGAGGTGTTTGGCAGTCTGAAACAGACAGTTCAGAACAGCATCTTGTGTTCATGAATACATTGTTGTGGAAACGCAGACTGACTTTAGATTTGCGAATAGAAGACATAACCCACCAGGGTATCAACTTATTGATGTGGATATATCGGTGAGAACCCAAGGAGCATCTACGTTTGAGGTGGATATATTGGTGGAGAACCCAAAGAGCATCTACTGACGTATACTACTACTATCTATGTCGTAACCTATACAGTGATTCTATCGACTCCATTACAGACCTTCAAAATCAAAGCTAATTTAGATACCCCGTCTATAACGCGACCCTGAAGGAAGCACATCATCAATGCAAACACGATCCCTATAATTGTAATAAAGTGTGGGTCCTGGTATTTTGTTAATGTTATACGATGCTTGAGCACATAGAACTGTTGTGTTGATACGGTGCGGCACCAAGGTCACGGTGAAAAAACTCTCATGATTTAAGTGACTGAGTGACTTACGTCACACCGGCAATATTTCAGCCATATCGTGACAACAAAAAGTCACATACTGATAATAGATATATTTTTACTTTTTTAAAAGCAGTCAGTACTTTTTAAAAGCTGTCAAAAGAACAGTATAACAACTAGAATATCACAAATTAATCAAAACTAGTTTGAGTTCAGTGTGAAATGCTTAATCATTTACAAACAACACAATATATATTAGGGCTATAGTTCGCCAGCAACTGAAGGTAGATCACCATATGCTTGGGACCATGGGGATTTACATGACTTTTTCTACCTGCATGGACCCTTGCTGGATCATCTCTTCAGCTGTTATGCTGAATATGTATAGGATGAGTGAGTGAGTTTAAATTTACGCCGCACTCTTCAATATTCCAGGTAAATGGTGGCGGTCTGTAAGTAATCGAGTCGGGACCAGACAACCCAGTGATCGACAGTATGAGCATCGATCTACGCAATTGGGATACGATGACATGGTCAACTAAAATTTATAATTAAGTAAGCGAGCCTGACCACCCAATCCCGTTAGTCGCCTCTTACGACAAGCATGGGTTACTGAAGATCAATTCTAACCCGGAACTTCACTGGTTTGTATAAGATGAACAAGGAATTCGGATGCAATACCAAAATAGTTCTTGAACAGTTATGTGAAGTTTCACTGTCAGACAATCGGACGCTGGTATTAAGTAATGATTATCACAGGAAGATGCCTGCAATATGGTTCAGAGCCCTGCCTGGCAACACCCATTTTATGGTAAATACATTGCTGGCTTATAATA